TAACACTAAGTGTGTTGTCTGTTTCTATTTGAAAGATTTTAAATTAAATAATCGTTTCCAATCAGAGTTTTTTATGTTACCTATTACTGCAAATACCAGATAAGTTAAAAAAAGAAGTGTGAAATTCAAAACCAGTTGTTCAAAAATACTTGAAATCATTTTATTGATACTTGCATAGTTAGCATAGTTGTATAAAACTCATAAGCCCTGTAAAGATTTTTCATTAAGTGATAAAGGTATTGCAGTTGTCCTCAAAAGAAAGCGTTTTGTTCTTTTTATTTATTAACCATCAACACTCTTTTCTATGTAAAAGTCACTAAATACATTTACCTCATTTGAATTTGCTTTTCATGATCTGTGGATATGTTTCTGTGGCTTCTTTGAAACAGATTTCCTTGAAAACTCTTTATTTTTTCCTATATTCTGATTGCATCTGTCTTTCACTATGATAAAAAATACAGGTATTAGACAAATTAAGCAGAGGAAGTGTTTTGCTCAGTACTAATTTTCCTCAATTTTCAGTGTCTAACTTGTTCCCCATTAATTCAGTCATGTCTATATATGAGACTGCTTTTTTCCTAATGTGTATGAAATATTCCAGTTTTTCTGTCTTGCAATTTTATTACACTGCAATTTTATTCACATTTATTACATTGACCTTGGTTTTCATTCACATTCATAGAGGCCTTTTTGTTTTAAAATAATGTAATGGTAGAAATGCATAATCAGTTGATACATCAAATCTCTGTGAAACAATATTACATTTAGAAAATACTATCTTTAACTTTGCACTAGGTTGAATGTCAGTAAATACACTCCCTTACACATCTTACATCCTAATAAAGAAATATTGCAGCACCACTTTAAAGTCAATTAAAGATCCCATGTGATTATGTTGAAGACAGCTAGAGGAAAAACATGTTCCCTCTGTCAACTGGAGCCTTAACTGATTCACCTTTGAAATATCCATTGAGAATGTGTCTGTCTGTATTAATATCCCAATTAGGAATTAATATTATTCAGTACTAGTATAACACAGTAAAATATACTGAGGGGTTGTGGGTGTGTGTGCGTGGGTGTGGATCTATAATCCCAGATACTGTTCAATTGTTAACACTCTCTGTGGCAGATATTGACCTGATCCAATCCTAATTCTTCCAGACAGTGCCTGGACATATGATTAAGGGAGTAGCATAGAGACTTCCTTCAGAGGAGAAGGATGTAACCTGTGATGTACCAGTGTCTTCTCTCAAGCAGCAATCAATAGGTCAAGAGGAAACAGCCTGAAGTTGCTCCAGGGAAGGTTTAGATTGAATATTAGGAAAAATTTCTTCATGGAAACAATTATCAAGCAGTGGAACAAGCCAATCAGGGAAGTGGTTGAGTCGTCATCCCTGGACATATTTAAAAGACAAATGGATGTGGCACTTAGAAACATAGTTGGACTTGGCAGTGCTGGGTTGGACTTGATGGTCTTAAACATCTTTTCCAACCTGAACAATTCTATGATTCATTTGCTCTTGAACTGTTAAAATTAAGGAGAAGATCCTTGTCCCATTTTTTTAATATGAAAAGCAATCTTGGATTCTGCCTCCGAAATGATCCCTTCTGTATATATGCTGGGGGTTTTTTGTGTTTGCAAAGTATCTGGTTTTTTTGTTTATGTCCAAATGGTACCAGCAAAGAGACCACTGGAACCAAACTGTGTTTTGTGCTTCTCCGTATAGTTTACCTCAGGCTCACTGGTGCTTTCATTCTTCCAGTTGTGGCTTTCTGTAGCTCATTTGTGAAAAGTAGTACATTTTCTTTTTAAGTGAAAAAAGTTGGATGTCTCTCACTTGATCATTATCTTTTGTCATACATAAACCCCCTCCCTTTTGAAATCTGATATTATCCTTTGTGATAAAATATTACTATACTTTGCTTATACATTCTTACTTACTTTGACTCCTGTTTACTACACTATAGCAAATGGGAGTCAAAGTTGTTAGTCACAGTCAGCATCTCAGTAAGAAGCACAGGAGACATAACAAGTGACATTTTGTTAAGTACCTAAGAAGTACGTAGGTATAGAAAATCTTATTTTTACAAATTGGTGAGTAGACTCCTGAACCAGCTGTCAAAATACATATGCTTTCCTATGAAAAGGGTAGGACAAAATGTCTGAGTTACAAGAGATCTTAAATAAATCATCTGGAGGAAAAGGCAATCTGCTGTATAAATATTTCAAGTTTTGAAATTGAAGCCTTTACACTGATCGCTTAGAGGCCTGGCCTTATTTTGTAGCAGATAATATTATGTCAAAGCAATGTTTAGTTCTACTTAGCAGCTGTTGTATTCATAAGAAATTATGCCAGATTAAACCTTGAATATATTCATCAAGAGCACCCAGTTGTGCTGACAAACCTAAAACCGTTTTCAGTAATATGTTCTATCACAAACCATTTGGGCACATTGCCTCTCTGAAGAATGGTAAAGTCAGTGTGCAGGCTCAGCTTTATAATTCCCGCTGCCTGCTGAATTCCCATAATATATCCAAATGTCCAAGCAGTAGATTCAATAGGTATCCTACTAGAACACTGCAGTAGCACAGGTATAAAATGTGGGACATTTTCTCAAGGGTATTACTTTCCCAATCATTTTAATTTCACATGCCTGATTCACCACTGCTTGTGCATTCATTTGTACTTGTTCAAAGGAAATGCAATTGAATTCTAAAATACTCTCAAATCACTGCAATACTCATTTTACATGGTAAAAGAACAAGACAGTAAATTGGATAATCAAGTTTTCTGGGTTTTGTAAGGAGAACTGAAATGTTGCTTGGAGAAGAAACAACAAAAATCAAGCTTTACTTGTGGAATACTTCAAAGATTATCCTGTAAAACCTGGGTCAAACACGTTGTACAGAGAGGATACCTTGTTAATTGTAGTGATGCTGTAATGAGGAGATGACATAAAGATCAGGAGAACAGTGTGGAGAAGAGCAGACAGCTGTGGTTGGTGGAACAAAATCAGCTTTTCTGGAGAGCGTTTTGTTGCAGGAAACAAACACTCTGGAGTGCTCTCAGGCACTCTCAAAGGAAGCTCTTCTCCTTCCCCTTGCTCACTGCAGCAGGAGTGTAATAAATTATATGTGCCAAAAATGGAATGAAGAAAACACTTCTCCCCTTCCCCAGCTAAACCCTCAACAATTTAGGGTGCTCATTTAAAGTGTAATAAAGTTCAGTTTGCTTTTCTAGGAAAGTCTGAGTATTTGTCATGCTTTCCTGTTGTATACCTTAAACCGGTATTTTGCCACCTTGTCTGTGAGTGCAGTTCCAAATTGTATAAATAATTATGCAAAGGCTAGAACTCTGGTATTCTCTCTTAGATGAGTTTTGTAATTTTTCTAATCTGCCATGACAAATAATTAGTTGTTACATTACAGTATGCAGTTCTATAGGTAGTTTTGAATGTGAATAAGCAATTTGTCCTCTACTACAGTCAGCAGTTCCCAAGAGCTCCAAGGAGCAGCACATCTCTAGGGCTCTAACCTGCTGGAAATATTTTGATTTTGAAACAAACATTTGTGTTACAGATAGTGGCAGTAAGAATCAGGGAGTTTGATGTGCTAGGTTAGGATGAGAGGTTGAGCTCTACACCTCAGTTCTGGTTTCCGGTTCCAGTCTCTGCTCAGAAGACTATACAAAGAGAAACACCATTTACAGCAGCAATTAAGAGGCATAATTTCTTCTGTAATGTTAAGATTGAGGGAAATTCTTAGCATAGATGGGGTAAGTAACTTCAGAAAGCACAAATAACTCTTTATTTAACATTGGTAAAGCAGCTGCTTCTTTGCAACTTAACTCTTTGTGGACTGGATAACATTGTGTTTCACATCTACAGCCATAGCTGAGGAAGTGTTCTCTTCAAGGTGAAGTAATGCTGATGACTGTTAACTTTCTGATCCATCTGGCATCTGGGAAGTAGTTTCTCAGCTGATGTCCATTTTCTGAGAACGCATTGTGTAAGCATCATTTGGATTCTAAGGCTGTGTAGCTCTTTTTAGCTCACTGGTGATGCTGATGGGGCTTGCAAGCAGTTAGTTTTCACTCCTTCAATATTCTTGTAAGTTAGAACTTGGTCCTAAATGCAGTAAAAATAAGAAGGGAGCCTGAATCATTCTGTGTGGCTAATGTGATCTCTCATGCTTGGTCGAGGAGGAAAATCTAGCACATTTCCAAGAACAGGTTTCCCTTAAGGTTCATTTCTGACATTCCATCACATAGGAAAGGAGAAGAGTGTTTGCTAATACGCTGACAGTTAATTGGATTTTGGTTTCAGGCTAGAAATGACAAATTTTGATGTTATCTATTTTGAGTGGAATCAAAATATCCAGGAATAGGAGCCTAGGTACAGTCCATAAGGTAGCACCTCAGCACCTTCATGAAGTCTTCTTGTGTACACTTCATGAAGTGTTCAGTGTACATCTGTGTATTAGAAAGAGTTCCAAAGCAGGGAAAAGCAGGGAAAAGCTGAGATACCTAACTCAAAGCTGCAGGAAGGTCCTACAGTTTACTTAGCAGATTTGTGGCCAGACATGTTTTCATTGGAGTAGATGCCTAAATAACTCTTTCCAAGACTGGTGCAAGGTGATTGAAAGAGAGACTAGGTGGGCCTTCAGAGCTTTAATCCACTAAATCTACTTCAGAGGACTATTATCTTTAGTATATACTCTTTTTTAACTAGCTGGACTGATGCTTTATCTTTCTCAGGAGAGGCATTTCTATTTCCATTCAATAAGGTTATAGGAGTTGTTCAGTAGCTTCCTTAGGAAGGTGATATGATCTAGGTGTCCTAAGAACTTCTGGATTTCGTTAGAACATATGGTGTAACTATTACCCTTGGATGTAGTATGTAGACTGCTTGTATTTCATAGTATTATTAAGATGTATGTGATCATTCAACTCTCCATTGTATCTCCATATTGTTATTCTTGTTTGTTTGTTTGCTTACAGGTTTCTTGTCTATATTTACATAACTGTTGCAAGCTACCTAGTCTGACGAAGTTGAACTTCATTCTTCAAGTGTGATTTACTCAGTACAGCCTAGAATCATGATGAAAAAGAAGAGCATACCTGCAAGTAAACCTTTCTTGATCCTCTTTCTGTGCCAAATTATTTCTGCATTGGACGTACCTCTTGACTGTAAGTATTAACCTGCTAAATAAGTGTAGAATAATGGAAATTTAGTTAAATAATTTCTGTAGAAAGCTGAAGATAACTCCAACATGGAGCTAAACGTGGAGATAAACATTTCAGTCAGGGCATTATGATTATGAATATTTACACTTATTTACTGAAGATTTTCAAAACCTGTGCAATAAAATGAGTTACACTGTTCACTTGAGAAGGTTTAACACAGGATTCTCACAGGGTTCTACTTACACTTCAGTGTGCCTTTGTTGAACACATTATTTGATCAAAATTAAGAAGGGCAGAGAAGCCCAGCTAAATGCTAATTATTTGTGAAGTTAGGATCATACTGATAATTTGCTGAAAACCCCATGACAATTCTTAGTTGCTGTCATCAATCACCCTTACCTCCAGAGAAGAAGTTTGCAGGAGCTGATACGTAAACTGGTAAAAGATTCAAATACCTAAAATTCAGATACTCAAAGCATCTTATTTTTTGATCCCAAAGGGTAAATTAGGCTCTTAGATTTCCTAAGCAGTGGCTGAAAATGGTTAAATACTTAGCTCTAAGTTAAAAATATGTGCTGAGCAGGGAACTCCAGCATTGATATGTGAGGAAACATCCAAAAGAGAGGAAATCCCAAGATCTGAAATTCTTGTCTAGTATAAGACTGTGTTAGTGGGGAACCTTGAAGGTAGGACTCCATGCTGAAAAGGAAGCCACCGTAGATGCTGCATTTTATAGTCCTAATAGCTGATTTTATTAAATTATTCCTGCTTTAGGTTGCTATTTTCTTTCTAAGATAAGCATGATCACATTTTCAAGATTCAGTGAACCATGTTGCACCTCATAGTGACTATTAATTTGTTAAACTAATTACCAGGGAAGAGAACATTAGGGCTGGTGTTAAATTGATGGATTAATATATCAGTAAATTTGCTTATGATTCTAATGTGCATGACTTTCTTTACCCCCATGTTTGTGATAACTTCCTGCCTTCCACAATGCATGTTTTTACTTAATAATTTCACTGACATAAATTGCAACTGCTTTGGTGGGTTCCCCCCCCCATGCATTTTACAAGCCTATCAAACCAGTGACCTGTATTTCTGTAACAAGATCAATATATTTGAATCACATCAAACTTGTTGTGCTCTAAATGTCTTTAGAGCAATAAGCTTTGGTTTAAAGAGGGATTCGAAAGTTTTTTGAATTAATGTCTTATTTTCTAAACTTAATTTTGCTGCATAAATATCTTTACAGTCTATAAATAGTGTTTTAAACCCCCATCTTGTAGTTTAGGAACTAATATAAATTGTGCACCACTCTAATATATTTATCTATATCTATCTTCAGGTTAAATTTACCAGAAATGCATCAAGAGACAAAAATGAGTAGCTCTTTTAGATGTATCATTTTAGTTCTCTACTGAGAATTTAATTCCCTACTCCTTAATGCTTAATGACTTTGTTAGGTCTGATAAAGTCACATGCTTGAATTTTTAGCCAAAACTAATATTAACAGAAATTACATCTGTAATGATGTTATTGCTTTCATAAATAATGATGAGAATGGGCTCTGGGAGAGCACCTCAAGGGAAGGACATATATTTTCTGTGGGTCTTCCATAAGTATCCACTGCAGAGACCTGATGGTGAGAACACAGTTGACAGTTGAACCTTTAGGTTTCATCCAGATTAGCAGTTCCTATTCTTTGCAGTTCATTAGTTCCTAGTCAGTGTCTCCTAAAACCTACTGAAAATGTAGGTGACCCAAAGGCATTTGACCTGCTGTAATACATTATTGATAAAGAGACGTGTATGCAAAACATTTGAAGTAAGAAATAAAGATGTGACAGCTAAGATGATTTTTTTTTTGTTTTAGTTATTTTTCAAACCAAAAGGGGTTGCAACTCTATTGAGTAGAATTAGGTGCTTCTGTATTTACAAGAGTAATTTTAACCTGAAGCATTCTCTTTGTTCTTCTTTGTGATCATGAGTGGATTGATTTTGACTGCAACATGAGGGCAGTGCACTCCACTAATTTTGAATTGCTGTCTCCTCAATATTAGTGTTTTGTGTCCTTGCAAGACCAAAATCACATATCATGGTTGCCCTTAAAAAGTCAACACTTCAGAAAAGTTTCTCATACCATGAGGTTTGAGATAAATGTAGTAATAACTGACACAATGAAAACTGTAGCTGGGATTTCAGGCCTCCCTGCATGGCTTACACTGCTAAATGTTTTAAATGTTTACTTTTTAATGGTGACCAATGTACTTGTCAGACATACTTATCTTCCCTCTCAAAATTGCTAATTTTCTTTCCATTAACAAATGTTTCTCTTTAATCTCCATTTGTCCATTCAACTGCTGATTCTGATGTGGGAATAAAAGCAAAACTTCTAGAAGAATGTAAGTTCCTCTTCACTAAAACTAGGCTGTGTGCTGCTGAAAAGTAATACTGATTGGTGTGCTGTATCTAGATGTTTTGTGCATGCAGTGTTCAGAAAAAAAACTGCTGTACGTAAATCAACATTCTAAAATTCTGAAAAAATTAATTGTGTGGTTTTTGATGGTGTGCTAGCTGAACATTAAAATATTTACTCAGTATCAGCATGTGCAGTGTTTTATGACTACTTTCAGGAGTAAATGTATTTGATAAAAAATAAATTCATCGGAATATATGTACTTTTATACTATTATACATATCTGAGTTGGAGATACTTTTATATCCATAGTGGATACAGTTATTTAAGTAGACCTCATATTTTTATGGCTTCTCCTAACTAAGCTCTAGTGTCATGGTTAATTCAATCAGTTTTAAGTGCAGTGCATAGCACAGGAGTAGAGATTTCAGGTCTTTGATGTGCATCAGATGGAATATCCTGTGGGTTGGGCAGTGTTCGTGTTGTGTCCCTTTTCAGAGTGTATTTGCTTTTCCCAAGTAAGCATCTGGCACGTATTGACCCTGAAATATGCCCCTGAGAGGGAAAAGGACTGTCTTCAAAGTGCCTCTAAAGAAATACACACAAAGGCATGATCATGTAAAAATACTTCCTCCCTCATTTAAGGACTCTCCCCTCTGCAATGAGGAGCAAAACCCAGTTCTACATGGCCTGTTCTGTTCTGTTCTGCTTAGCTGCTGTATTTTGTTAATGATTTCATGATCTGATGTTTTTTCCGTGGCTGTTTCTTGTCAGTAGGGTTTTACAGAAGGCTACCTCTGTCTGTACAACAGACTACTTAATATATAATGGTAGGGAAGACTTAAAGTAAAAATCCCAGTTTTACAATTTTAACTGGCTAGAAAGAGGCATGAGAATACAGCTAACTCTAGTGATTGAAATATTTTGTTCAAGTTGCTAGAAATTACCCCAAAGCAGTAGCATTGCTGGACAGGCAATATACAACATTCAGACAGAGATGTTAATGGGCATGTTATTAAACAGGTTCCTTTAGATGATACTAAACTATAAACAGATGAATAATGTTGAGGAAGACACCTTTCTCACTATCTTAGTACTGCAGACATGATATTTTTAATGCAAAAATCGGCATAGATATTGATAAAAGATTATAAATTACTTTAAATATGTAGGCACCAACTACTGTGTCAGGTGAATCAATTCTGTTTTGTGCTACTCATTCTAGAGTACTTGACAAATTACAAATGTGGAATGTTTGTTTCTCCCAATTCACAAGATTGACTAAATTCTTATTGGGTTCCTTATTGGGGAATCAGTACTTTACTTTTCCTACATGTTTACTTTATTTGGAAAGTAGGTACTGTTTTTGTCATTTTTAAAGTCTTTTAACACGTTTTTTACTCCTGAAAAGTAGTTCCTAAAAGCATGCTTTATAGATTATTTTGAGTATAATAAATGTGTGAAAAGGGTTACACCCATAGAGAATTTGGAAATAAAAAAATATTTAGAAACACAAAGCAATGTGTGTTTCTTTCCTTCTGTGTAGTAAAAAACATTTTATGAAGGTTTATGCCTTACAACTCTTCATTTCGGATTATTGGACTTAGAATTGGAGTGTCCTTTGGGTTTGTGGAAATCTGTTGAAATCTGAGGTATAGAAGTGACGTTCATTAAACTTTTTGTCCAAGATCTTCACCCACAGTAAATCAGGATAGCTCAGTTGGGAGTTAGTATAGCTACACTGATTTACAAGGGTAGAGCACTTCAGCCTCCTGATACAAAGGATACTTTAATCCCATTCTTCTGTCACTGATTTGGTTGCTAATCACAATTCTGCTTTCTCTGTTTACAAAACTGTTTGGCGATACTTTGAAAGCATTGTTAAATTTGTCTCTCTTTCTTATATTCCATAATGAAGTGTCACAACCTCCTACGATAACTCATCAATCTCCAAAAGATTACATTGTTGACCCTCGAGAGAATATTGTAATACAGTGTGAAGCCAAAGGAAAGCCACCTCCTAGGTTAGTAGCATTTTGTTTTGCTTTTGTTGGCCTAACAGCATGGAAGAACTAGGAGAAAATACTGTAACTTTTGTAAACTAACAAGATTATGTGTATGAATATGCTTGCACATGCAGAAACATACATGCACCCCTACCTCTGTAATTTAAACAGCTACCAGATAGTGGTAAATTTGATTCTTCTTATATTTGGCATTTAAACTTTTCTGTATTCATCAAACAACTGTAGTATTTTTATTCTCAAAGCTCTACCAATAAAATAATAAACAATTATTTGAACAACAGGTAGGTAAATGCCCATGGAACACACAAAGAGACATGCTGTGCCATGAACTGGATCACATTCCAGATTTAAGCATTGTGTTTAAGAACAATGGACGTTGAATGAATTCAGAGTAACACTAATAAATTCACATTTAATGTTTTGTAAATCATTCTGGTTTTTGAGGCTCATCTTGAAATACATTTTGTCAGAATATAATGTGTATCAGTTTTAATGTTCAGTACTCTTGATTTACCAAGAGTATTTAATAGGCTTAAGTTTCGGTTTTGACAGAAATGGTAGCCCTCTGCATAGATCAGATTCCTGATCTTTGTCCATTTTAAGGTCCTCTTTAAATTTAAGGTCCTCTTTCAGGGTCTTTAAATACTTAAAAACTATTCATTTCAAGATACTGAGTACCTGTACTAGAAACAGCAATAGCCATGATACATTCTGGCACTGTTAGTATCTGCCTCTGATTTCAGAGACTATGAACATAGAAATGTGCAACTCTCTGTGCTCAGCATTGTTATGCTACAACTTGCTAGCAAGGTCAGTCTATAACTGTTCATTCAGACACAGACAGAGCTCATTAAATGTACTTCTTCTGGATAACCAGGCTTTTTGGTACATTATTCCTGCTGGTTGCCTTGGCATCCTGGTCATTATCATGCTGGGCAGCAGAATGGGGAAGATGGAGATTGTCTGGGATATTCTCACCCTTTCTAGTGTTCCATTAATGATAGGAGTGCCACAGATCTGCTGTGTTTACCAGCACTTTAATTTAGCTGGCCCAATGCCATTTTTAAGAGTCTGGGTATTGACCTGGAGGATCAGATGATTATTGTGCACTTTGGGACAGCCGTATTGCTTCTGCAGATGTTTCTCTTGAATGTCTTTTTTGGTTGGGATTACCTGAGAGAAAAAGGATTCTGTCTGTGAGACTAACTAACCTGGGCTGTGTGCTAGTGCTCAGCAGCTGTGTGCTGCTCTACATCCTCATTTTCCCCATCAAACCTGTAACTGGCTTTGTTCCCCTACTACAGAGGAAGGGACAGGATTTCAGTACAGAATTTTCTCATGAGTTTTACAAACTTGTGCTTAGTCTTCCTTATTTTTCAAGATATGACATCCAATAATTTATATCAATAGTTAGTCTGGTCCATCAGTCCTGATAACCTGCAAATGCATATTGGAACTTGATCTGCTCAAAAGCTCTGATGTTGAACTTTCTCAGCCCACGGTGTGAATTGGTTATTAGAACAAGGCAACTTCTTATTGGTCAGAGCATCTGGCATAAAGGTTTATGGATGTGCTGCTTGAGCACCAAAGACTGACTTTTCCTGTTTCTCAAATTCAGGGGTTTGTACAACATATGCTACCTCTCAATTGAAGCTACATTACAATTTCCCGCATCCTTCAGTTATTGGTAGCAGAGGATTACAGAAACCCCACTTCCTGAAGTTTCATTCACAAGGTTATAAGAAAGAGGTTTGCTGTTGGTTTGCTGCTAGTCCTCCCAAAAACACTGCAGTGTGGTGCAGTGCTGCTGGTCAGGTCTAGTTCTTCTGTCTCCCACCACAAAGTGCAAATAGCATGTCTGCGTGCTGCAGAAGGTCAGTGTACAGTGTGAGTCCCTTAGAATTTCAGCTTTTGCAGTACCATTTAAATTTCTATTTTAGGAAGCATTCTAACCAGTAAGCACATAGAACTGTGCTCAAGATTCTGAAGCAAAAGTGTAACAAGTATGAAAGCTGCTCTTTGCAACATTTGAACCTGTGAGCACTCAGCACTTCACAGACGTTGGTCTAGTTTTCTATGGCTATACTTTTGACCATTAACAGAACATATATAAGAAATTGGTGTTCACGGTCTAAGTTGCAGATTGTGAATCTCTGCTTCTTTACAATTTTTTGTGGGTTCTATTAGTCTTCATTTTTAGTGACTACTTTTATACTTGCTTTGAGTAGCACCAGTATAAATTTACTAGATTAATTATTAGCCATCAAACTCACCATATAGTCTTTAATTCATTTGCATAACTTCAAAATTACCAAACCAATTAAAAGAAATAGTCTTCTGCTGGGGCCTGAGATGGCACATTTCAACCCAGAGCAAGTTTTTAAAGACAGGTTTATGGGTGTTTTCAACAACAGGTTTTATAATGGAAATGCTAATGCAGCTTTAGCAGTATCAGTTCTTGCAGATGTTACTGCATCATTTTTATCAGAAATGAAATCAGTTCTTTTCCATGTATGATTAACCTCGGAATCCTTTAATGTATTTTTTTAAAAAAAAAAAAATTGACTTTGAAATGGCTCCTGTTAACAAGTTCAGCCAAAACCTTTTATCTTAAAACATTGCCCGATTTCTCATATTAAGAGTGCTGTATTACGTTATTAGCTCATTTAGTTTGGGAAGAAGTCTTACTTATCTGCTAAAGAAGAAATAACATGCATTTTTTGTTAACTACTTTTTTTCTTCTTTTCATACAATCTACAAAAGACAGCTCAAGAAGAAACTTTTCTTTTTGTTTTTATTATTTTAGCTTCTCTTGGACACGCAATGGAACTCATTTTGATATAGATAAAGATGCACAGGTAACAATGAAACCAAATTCAGGGACCCTTGTCATAAATATTATGAATGGTGGGAAGGCAGAAGCATATGAAGGAGTATACCAGTGTACAGCAAGGAATGAACGAGGAGCAGCCATTTCCAACAATATTGTTATAAGGCCTTCTAGTAAGTAAAGCTCTTAATTTTCAGAAAATGTGAAACACTTTGGTTTTCTTATTTTCTTATGAACTTTTTGCCTTTTTGTTTTCTGGTCTTAAAAATTTAATCATCAAAGTGATTTTGTTAGAAGTTACTATCTCTTTTCTGATACTTAGATTTAGTACTGTATTGCATGTTCTCTCAAATATTTTTTTTAGAAAATTTAATAACTTGGGTTTTTTTCTTAGTACATCTGCATGACCTATCATATTTAAAACTGAGTTGTATATATGACACTACTATTAAAATAAAATATTTAAATCCTTAGTGTACATCATTGCTGATGACAATTTTCATTCTTTTTACAAAGCCTGTGTTCCACAGTTCTTGTAATAGCTTTACTACAGAACAGATTGGGACTAAAAAGAAGATAAGGCTAAAAAAATTTTATTAATGGTGGACTGTTTTTACAGCTTTTTATGTGCTTTTTAATCTCAGATTAGTTTTTCAAGCTTCTCAGCTTAAAATGTGCTGTTCTTACGTTTTAATAAAACTATGTATAATATTGTTTCAAGAAGGTCTACTTCTAATTTAGCACATTGCTTTTTTTTTTCATTATCATAGTTAAAACTTTTCAAGTTATAAAACCTTTTGTGAGAAGGCAAAATTATTTGAATCAATTGATTATACTTTTGGCAAATCAATGCTGCACTTTTCGTCCAGAAAACATAAAAAAAAAGAACAAAAATGAAATCTTTAGTAAATGTGACAGGACTTAACATTCCGATGCATGTACTTCTTCTGTTTTTCTGGAATATTATGTGCATTTTCCCATAAATTTTGGAGGTTTTGTCAATCCATAGTTTGCGTGTGTGTTAAAATTACTTTCTATAGGATCGCCTTTGTGGACCAAAGAAAAACTAGAACCACATCAGGTTCGCGAAGGTGATTCACTAGTACTGCACTGCAGACCTCCTGTTGGCTTACCACCACCTATAATATTTTGGATGGATAATGGTGAGTTTGGTTTTTATGCAGAAGTAGTTTACTTTTTGCAGTTTTTCTGCATAGTAGATCGTTGTTTACTTACCAAGACCAGATGGTGGAGTTTCCCTGTAAGTTAAAATTCAGAGAATTTCCATTTCTATAGAAATGAAGAAACAAGCAGACATACAGCCCAAAAGCATGAAGTCAAAAGCAGCTGGAGATCTTCATGTAAGTTGTAGATTAACCCACTGGGGAAGAATGGGAAGACAGGGGAACTTGCTGGGAAACTTAGAAATATCTATATGTACAAAGCCACAAACAGTGTAATTGAGCAAATGTGGAGTCTGCAGATCATAATAATGGAGTGTGTATTATGATTGAGATAAATGTGTCCTTGTTTTCCCTTAGCTTTCCAAAGGCTGCCTCAAAGTGAAAGAGTTTCCCAAGGTCTAAATGGAGATCTTTATTTTTCTAATGTACAACCAGAAGACACCCGGGAGGACTATATCTGCTATGCAAGATTTAATCATACACAAACTATACAGCAGAAACAACCCATTTCTGTAAAAGTCTTTTCAAGTAGGTATTGCATTACCTAATTACATACTTACGTAGTGTTTATCCTGAGTTCTCAAGTTATACGCTGACTTTAAGTAGTGTTACGCTAGGGAATGTTGTCATTTTAATTCTAAATAAGAAATTGTTCTACTGTATAAACTTGGGCAAAGTAATCTCCAATTTTCTTGATATTTTAAAAGCTGTCATTTTTCCCTTTATAAGGCTTTGTCTTCTGAAAAAATGTTTTGTAAGATTTGAAATATAGAAAAAATACCATGTAAAAAATAAGTTTTCAGATGATTTTCCAGTGCAATAATATAAAGTTATTATGAATATTGTAACTATTGAAACAAATTAATCAATCATTTGATTAACTCACCGTGGCCATATCATCACCTTTTGATTCCCAGAACTTTTATTTATCCCTCTTGTATGCTTTCTTCATGATATTCTGTTTATTTCAGTGGATTCATTGAATGACACTATAGCTGCTAATTTGAGTGACACTGATATTTATGGTGGTGAGTTACACTGGTCCCCACTGATACTCCCTGTTTCACAGTAGCATTTAGTTAACTAACCTCACCTCCATGGCTACTTAACCTTCTGCTCCCTTTTCAGTTTCTAATAAAGATATCAATTAGTGCTGGTGATAATACATACTTTAGGAAGGGACTGCACAGTGTGATCCTTTCGAATATTTAATTTTTCAATGTTATTGTAACATATGGCTCATAAAAAATATAAATGCTTATTATAAATGAGTCCTTTCACACTGGGGCAGATTTTAAAAATGGTCTAGTTGATTGCTTCTATACTGTGTTGCTTTTTCTTATTTTTCCTCCAATTTGCCAAGTAGTTTGATAGTTCATTATCACTAGGACTATTCAATATCATATGTTGCATAACAAATAACAACAATTAAGCATTTAACAGATGCACTTCACATTTAATATCTTATTGTATGTACCATTCATTTTAATCTTAATTCATAAGCGTGAAACTAGAATTAATAAAAATCTGAACACTTTAATACTGTCTGTATAAATAACTATGTAGGAGTAAGATGACTTTTGTTTGCTTGGTGTTTAAACTGGTCTTCCCATTAATTTATGTTGAATTGTCTTTTGTATATTGTGACTTAAATCCTCCCAAACAGGCCTGTGTATGTTTAGCGAGGCTGACTTTGGAGCACCACTGATTCTGTAGCACTTGAGGTTCTAGACTCTCCATTTGATATTGTGTGATGTAGAAAATAATTGATAATTTACTCTATTTTGTCTTTTTCCTTGTCAAATAGGGCTCTGTACATATTAAACCATAACTTATGTAAATCCAAATTAAAACATGGACACAGAATATTTTACTTCTCTGCATAAAACTTATATGTTATTCAGGAGCAAACAAGAAATAAATACCTGAATACAAAACAATATATTAGCTACAATTAGTTAGGAAAATACTGTTCGATTGGCTCACAGCTCAGAAACACCGGGGTAATTCTTCTGAATTTTCATAGTTTCAAAATATGAGATAGATTAGTTGTTGCTGTGACTATCAGCTGCGTTCTTGACTCTAGACTTCCCCTTTCTCTCAACAATGTTGTTTTGTACTAGTTTTTAAGAAATTCATAGCACATACTGTATTTAAAATCATATTTATGTTAATCTGTCAGTAAATCCTGTACCCTAAAAAACTTAGAGTTTGTTGTGTTTCTAATCACATTAAAAAAATAAAAATTACTGTAATGTTTCAGATTGCTACTGCACTTCAGAGCAATTTAATCCTATATATTAAATTGCTATAAGAGAAAATGAAAGGATACTCATAAAATACTCTACAATTACAGAAAACACTCTTATTTTGACTTCCATAAAGGCACAGGAAATACTGTAATACTTCAAAAGCCAACAGAGTATAATGTCAGAAATTGGTCTTATATTTATAGCTGCCTATTTACTGTAGTTATTTCTTACAGGTTAATCAATGGTTCTTTATTACAAGACTGGGGAAATGCTTGAATTAAAGTTAAATATAGAGCAAGAGGAAAATACCAGGCTTCTGAAACCACATCTCACATTGTCTAGAAAGTATTAAAACATATTGCAAAGCAGGGCATACCTTTCATCCCCTTGGTTTATATTTTTGAGTAAAATAACTTTGCTTTATTTTTATTTTTAAGGAAGCCCAGAAATTTTTGGTAACTTTGAGTCTTGCACTGTGCCTCACACTAGTGGCTTATTACTCCCCATAATAATTCTGCTGAAGTGAATAGGGGCTGCTTAAGATTAAGGCTGCATAGTTGTCTATGTAAAAGCTTTGTATCGGTTACTCCTGTCTTTAATAATAACATTTTTCATGTATATGTTCAAAATTGTGGCATTTAACAGATATGTTATGTCTGTCAAAACCTAATGTGTTGAGCTCTGTAGTTGTGTTACACAATGACTTAAATGGCCAATGTAGAGCATAATCTGTCCAAACTGTGAGAATGGATGTATGCATTTGATCAGTATTGAGAGAAAAATTAGAAATTAATTATTTGAATTTTTCTTGTTTCAGCGAAGCCAGTTACAGAGAGGCAGCCCATTCTTCTAACACCAACAGGTAGCACGAGTACCAAAGTGGAACTCAGAGGAAATGTGCTTTTGTTGGAGTGCATTGCAGCAGGATTGTGAGTTACTTTTTAGATAGGTGTTTTTTTTCTAAATAGAAATACAGAAACAGAGGGAAACCTTTCAGAGATGCTTAAAATGTTACCGCTGTATAAGCTTATGTGTTTCAAAGAAGCAGAAGTGTAGAATGGAAAGAGCTATATTGAGGAAATCCTCCATTTACTTGGGGATCAGCAGACTTTAAAACTGATTATAAACATATGTATGGCTTCTGCCTTCTCAGATTCCCAAACCTTATGCACAGGATACGGGTTATGCTGTTGGTTTTAAAGGACACAAGCAAGAAATGCCATAGGGTGAAGTCAGGCAAATATGTGAAGAATTGCTCTCAGGAATACAGCCTCTGTTTTTTTCCTAAGTTTGCAATCATTAGGCTCTCAAATTATATAAAAATAGGCACAAATTTACTGTTCTAATCTGAGAAAGCTTCTTATAAATGCTAGTAATTACTTAGTAGATCAGCTAGCTGGGAGTTGTTAAAAGATATCTTCAGCTCCTTACATCAAATTTCTCATTGTAATTGAGTTTAATTGGTACTTGTTTCTTCAATGCAATGCAAGTTTGCTTCTGCTGGTTATTGGGCAAGAAGAAAATTACTAAAGAGCAATTTAACTTCATTAATTAGGTTGATCTTAAGTTAGTTTCAGGAAGAAATCTGAGAATAGATTGCTTAGAAATAGAAAATTCTCAGTACCTGTTTCAGGAACTGTAAATGTGTTTACAGTGCACAAAGGCATATAATGCGGAGGGCTCTGACTTAGCCATGAGGAAAGCCAATGTAATCATGCACCACAGCATCATGCAGATGTGTTCACTTGCATAAGCTCTAGAGGGCTTCTCATGCACACTTGACACAGTTTGATAGGAGCATCGATGCATTGTTTCTGTCTCAGCTGTGGTCTGCTTAGCTGATTGCACCAGCAGCACCAGCAGCACCAGCAAAACCATGACTGTGAGTGGGAGTAGCATCAGCTCAGGTAATCTTTGTCTGCAGTATGGTTACATGCTTTTTGACAACCCTTCAGTAAAAGTATATGGTGATCCAAACACAGGTAAAATGGCTGGATAAAACCCATGAAAAATATAGAGTATTATGCAGGTCAGTGTCTTTAGCTGTCATGTAATTAAAAAAAAAAAAAAATCACTGAGGGAATACTTGTCCACAAAGGGTCAGATGCATATTTTTTTTAAAACAACTATTCCTAATTACGGACACCATAAATAAGTGTCTGTGTTATAAAATCTGTGATATTAGACTGCTAAGGGACTATTTGCCTAGAGTCATTACTATTTGGAAGAGGACATTCTACTCAGTAAGCAACACCTTCTAATTTCTTGTAATTTTAAAAATATATCTCCATGTGTTTGAACAACTTTTCAGCTTCAGTGGACAACTGGGGGCATAGCCAAGGTTTAGACATGGTGCAGTGACAAGTAGCTATATTTGACTCAGCACTTTCATTTTTTTCTTCATTTCTCATAAGAAATATTTCTATCTGCTTACAGCTCTGCTGTAAAATTTATGATGTTCATGAAGCATTAGGATATTGCTCACACTAAGGACAATTATAAACTTGTCATTATCTAGAAGCTACCTTTAAAAACACCATAAGCATCAATTTAATAGTAGAAGCACAATGAGATTTGAAACTTGTCTTCATTTATCAACTATCAGGTATTTTAAATTAATCAGCAGACAAATGTATTCTGTAATTATTACTCCTATGAACAGATGGCCATTGACAGTGTTAGTGAAGCTTGTCATTTCCTAGAAACAAATGCTGGCATATTTTTCATATTTGTTGCATGAGCCCCTGAATCTGGGTAAAAGCTCTTGAAATCACAGAATGTGCTGAGTTGGAAGGGGCCGCTAAGAATCATCAAGTCGAACCCCTAGTCCTGCACAGGACCATTCCCAAGAGTCACACCATGTGCCTGAGAGTATCATCCAAACACTTCTTGAACTCTGTCGGGCTTGATGCTGTAACCACTTCCCTGGGGAGCCTGTTCCATCACCCAACCACCCTTTGGGTGAAGAGAACTTTTTTCTAATCACCACCCTAAACCTCCCTGACACAATTTCAGGCCATTCCCTTGGGTCCTGTCACTGGTCACCACAGAGAAGAGATCAGTATCTACCCCTCCTTTTCCCCTCATGAGGAAGTTGTAGACTGCAATGAGGTCTCCCCTCAGTCTCCTCTTCTCCAGGCTTTAACATACCAAAACATATGTTAAAAAAAATTAATGTGTTGAACTCTTATCTTCCTTTTCTTCAGTCCCTAAATTTGGTCTGTGCTTTTGCTTCTCCAGACCCACACCGGTAATCCGCTGGATTAAAGAGGGTGGGGAACTGCCAGCCAACAGAACATTTTTTGAAAATTTTAAGAAAACTCTCAAGATTATAGATGTTTCTGAAGCTGATTCTGGGAACTACAAATGTATAGCAAGAAATACACTGGGTTCAGTTCATCATGTCATTTCAGTAACCGTGAAAGGTAATACTAAAATTATCATTAATGTAATGTTGTCAAATATCCAGAATACAAGACTGAAGTGGGCTTTCTAGGATGAAGTACACCTCAAAGGATAAATGATAATGCTTAAAAAAATACCCTGAGGAACCAATCATTAAACCATCTGAATTCTAGTACTGGAAGGACTATCTCTAATCTCTTTTACATTTTTTAATGTTCTTTTATAAAGCATCAGACTAAATTGTTATTGTACTGTAACAGTAGTAAGATAATTCATTAGTTTGTACCAGTACTACGTTTATTTTAGATCCTTTGATTTTCTTTCATTAGACTGCTTCTTTCTCGTTTTTATTCTCCCCATCCCTCTTCATCATCTCTTTCTTATTTTCTCCATTTTTTGTGCACACCATTCTTATAGCCCAGATTCTTTCTTTTCTATTTTACTATCATCTTACAGTCTTATATTCTTCCTTTTTCTCTCTTAACTGACATTTCTGAGTTTCTATCTTCATGTTTTTTTACTCAAAATGATGCCTTACTAGTTCTAAAATCATTTACAATGTTTGTCTAAACAGGAATTGTAAGTATGTTGTGAATACCATGAAACAAAAACCTGTAATGGCAGCTAATTAGTCATTGAAATAATCAGTTGTAGTGCTTACTTTGCATGCTAAATAGCCCTTTACTGTGTTGTAGATCAGCATCATTTTATGATCACATCAAACCTCCTTTTTAAGAGAAGTTTCATTTTTTGTTTGCATCTGTCCATCAATCCAAAGTCTGAAATTTAATTGCAAGTTGCGATAACATATGCTCTTTGTGATTATTTATTGTAAAAAGAATGGAGAAATAGTTGGATATCTTTTATTAGGGACAGTGTTCCACCCATTCTGATCTCAATGTGTTTTCATCTTTCTCAGGTAAACATCTGACCCCACTGCAATCATCCATTGAATTGAGACCAAGGGTTTTTCCATTTCTAAATTTCACTCTTGACACGAAATCTTTTTGTATAGTCAAACCTAAATTCATTCCTAACAGCCTAACTATTATGAGCATGGATATCTCTGAAATTAATCAAAATACCACTGCAGTCTCTGCAGATGCCATACTCAGAAAAATTTTGCTTGCTTCAGAAAAGGCAAGTTAGATTCAAAGCAGGCAACCCTAAAGACAATCCTTGTTGTTTGTATCAGAATTTTAATGCAATAGGTAGCAAATAGCTCAGTTTAGACAATGTATAATCTACCGGTTAATCCTTGGGTATCACATAGAGAGAGACATATGTACATATATATATAAAGTAACAGTGTAGGTGTAAGTCTGTATCTACACATACCTTGTTTGAATTATCTTCTGGTTACTGTACCTGCGCCTTATGACTTTCTGTACATAATTTTAGAAAATGATTGCTGTCTTTCTCTTCTTAAAACCAGCTGCCCCATACTGGATAACAGCACCCAGAAACTTGGTCTTGTCTCCTGGAGAAGATGGGACATTGATCTGCAGAGCTAATGGCAACCCAAAGCCTAGTATAAGCTGGTTAGCAAATGGCGTTCCCATAGCAAGTAAGATTCTTAACTACCTTATAGGAGCATGAATAAGAAAATATGAGGAATATTAGGTTGGGTTTTTCAAATATAAGTGAAGAGCCTGTATTTGAGTAGTTTTTGCCTGATAGGTAATACTAAATTATAAAATATGTGGTAAAAAACTGTGGTTCATGAAAGTGGAACAACAAAATGTGCCCCTAACGTGTTTGAGAGCACTGAAATGTGTAAGCATACCCCGTTTTGTTCTGTCTAGTGTTCTTCTGGTAAGTATCTTTGTGGAGTTCAGGTGGTAGTAACAAAGCTGTGACATTTGTCCCTTTCACAAAGCCATTGCTGGGGTGTAATTTTTACTTTTGTGTTTCTGTGGCAGTCATGTCTGCTAGATCGCTCCTTTGGTGCCCACTGCAACTCTAATGTTGTTTAGGAGACCTGAATGTGACATGAAAGATCAAGTCCTCACATTTGTGGATATACAGAGCACTTGTATGATTTGCAGGATTTGCAGTACACTGCAGGATTTGCAGCTTAGCATATGTTTGAGCCTTCCAGGCTTCATTATTAAGAAGCTGCAGCAGCAAAACTGACTGAATGTGTCAGCAACTACCTGGCAAACAGCTTGTGCCAAGAAGGTGTCAAAAAAAAAGGAACCCCTAAGGCAGTGGAACGGCTGTTTCTGTGTACATGGATACAAAAAGGAGGCCTGAATTGATAATTGAGTCACTTAATTGTCCTTACACAGGCAATGCTGTATGACAAACACAAGGTAACCACTATATATAGCACAACTTGACTTGAGAAGGACTTGCTGGAGGACACTGCAGGGTGTGCACTCAGTATGCCCTGTGCCGCAAAGTCATGCTTGGTTCTTCTAGCTTTACCCTTCCTCATTCACAAAACAGTAGTATAAAAACAGACAACCTGCCCTGTTGGCTCATGAGAGACAATGTACTCTAAAACAGTGGTCTCTGCTTACCTGTTTAAAGTATGACAGTGTCACTTTCAGAAGTTTAGGAGTTAAGTCTGTTGATGAAGCAATGTCACCCAGTTTGGGACATGGAGAAGGATTGTCTACAGTCAAATCTAGGAAATAGCAACAGGTAAATGAGAACCCTCAATAGATACATTTGAAGTATTTGGTATACAACTGAGATTAAATTTAATTGGTTATTTAGCAAATAACCTGTTTCATGAATCCTAATTAAATGTAAGTTGAGACCTCTAGCCTGAGATTTAAAATGACAAGTTTCCATTGGTTAAATACGTTATGTAAGCTGACATTAACCACCTCATCAAACAATGGTTTGACAGGAAAACAGGAAAGTAGGAATGTAGTTTTGTATTGTGTATATTTATACATAAATATGTCATAGTGTATGCCTTATCATAGAAGTTCAGTACCCGTCTTTCACTTTCCTTTCTGGGTTTTTAGTGGTCTCCTTTTCCTTTGCTATTTTCTACATATTTACCATCCACTTTTTGTTTGTTTGGAGGAGATTTTTATCCTGCTTTCATGGTAGTTTAACTTACTTCATACCTCCTGACTAATAAAATCTTTTTCACCTGGCTGTGAGAGTCACCTTTGCCTTGCACTACTTCCTTGTCAAAGCTGTAGGACATGCTGTTCAAATGACAGACAAGTATATTTTCCAGAAAAGCGATGATGTATTCTGCATTCTTGCAGAATTTTACTGCTACCCAGCAGTAAAATTGGGGTTTTCAGAAGCAGCTGCAGGATGCCACCAAATTTCCCAAATACAAGGCAGCGTATATTGGCTGGCTGGCCTTGAGGAATCAGTACACGGAGTCTTGTTGAAGGGAACTCAGTAAAAATTAAAGACTTTAATTAAATTACCCACTCAAACTCAGTAGGGGGAAAAAAAAAGTAAAGAAGACCAGAAATAAACAAGTGAGTAGCTCAGCCTTATGAGAAAGGTCACTTTCACTGCTGAGAAAAGCTGAGGTTTTATCCACCTTAAATCTTTAAGTGCAAAATGATTGGATGCTCCAGTACAGTGCATCTGTCAGCACATCTAAGAGAAGCATCATAGTCACAGAAAGTGCAGTTCTTAAAATTCTTGTGATTATTTCTTATTCTGAGTTATCAAAAGCTGTTCTGGAAACTCCCAAGTACAGTGGGCCTTTTTGTTCACTTGTTACTAAATTATAGAATTGAGCCCCTCGTCTTCCAACTGAATGATTAGTAAATCACTGTAAAAGGAAACTAAAGCAGCTGTTTCAGCTTCAGGGCAGTGGTGAGAGAGCTACACCCATGGCAAGATTTCAAAGAAAAAGAACTACATTTGAATTTCAAAGCCCTGCTGTCATCATATATCCCACAATGTGCCTCCTGTGGCCTAGTAATCTGTTTGCAATACTTTAATTTTCTGTCAGAAAGCACAGCTGGGAGATACTTAATTCTTCCGGTTTTGTTTTTTCATAATAGAGTCAGACAAGGAAGGGGGAACGTTGAAGAAAGAACCATTCGTCCATACCTCAGTCAAAGGCTGAGGCTTAAATATCAATGGGGAAAAGGGAAAAATAAAAAAAATTGTAGTGTATATTAAGTACCTATGAAACAAAATTGCAGTGGTGAATTTTGTTCAAGATTATAATAATCTGAGTAAACCAATCTTTTTAGAGGAATATTTTAGGTTTATCTAAAATATTTTAATTAATTTTCTTCAACAGTAATACTGAAAAGAAAAACACCAGCATTTCTGGAAAAAAAAAAAAAAAAGGTGCTTCAGACTTACTGGAGTAATAAGGACCTAACCTAACCTCTCAATGTTTACCAACAGGAGTATTTTGAACTCACATGCACCATCCTGTTGAGGTCAATTGGAATTACTTTGGCAAATAGCAATTGAAAGTTCAGGCCATGACTCTGCCATGCCTCATGCTTCAATTAACACTCAAGATCTGCATTATTTATACTGCTGCATGATCCATTGTGTCTTACTGCTTAGATATTCAGCATGGTTTTACAAAAGGGAAACCATGCATAAAGTATCTCAACTTTTTAGAAAGTAACAACCCAGATTAATTGGGAAGGGGAAGCACTTTCGTAATTGGACTTCAGAAAGGCATTGCGAATACTGTACAAAAGACTAATTTATTGGTTCAGTGGTTTATAGTTCATGATGAGCTATTAATTATTAGATGCAGACACCTAGATTTATACAAAGTAGTGCACTCAAAGGCACTGTTTATCATCTTTCAAGATCTTCTTCTCTTGTTTATATCACATTTCAAATTGAATTTCTAGATTTGAGTTAGTCTCTGTTGGTACTCATATTGAATTTAAGGGAGAAGCATTAGCCTTTAGATTTCCTTCATGAAATGCCTTGATAATCCCTGGCTCAGAGATTTGTCGTCCATTGTGTTTTCTCTGAGTATACACGCACACTGCATATACTGACTGTTCATGGCAGCCATGGGTGGGTGAAGAGAAATTTGCTGGACTGGGGTGCCCTAAGAAGTTCAGTCTCAAACAGGAGAGTACTGCCAGGGCAGACATCTATCCGCTGCTTCTGCTGTCATTGTGTTGGAACTGTGCCTCTGGCCTAGAAGTCAGCAGTTACAAAAACCTTTGATAATCAGTATTTTCTTTAATTTTGCACAAAATAGTGAAAGGATGATCATAATTAGTGCAGGTAATGCAGTCTCTTTGGAGATAATAGAACTATCAGAATCAGAAACTCGGAAATCAGAAAGTTCGCTGAGAAGCATATGAGATTGGTAAGAAAAGGAAAAGAGCATTTTTTGCCGTTTTAATAATTCAGTTATAGGTAGTTTTAACCCCAGAAAAACTTTTCTAATTTTGAAATTGATTACTATATTCCTAAATTACTAATGAATGTGAATTTTTGGAAGAATAAGCAGGTGAACAGCAATAGGATACTTCTAGCAAAAGTTACTATAATGCAAATGATCCTGATGATCCTCTCAGAAGGTGACAAGCATGAGTATCACTATAAAAGGACCATATGTTACTATACTCACAGCAGGAAAAAAAGCACCTAAGCTTCTGTATTTGCTTTCTTTATATATTTCCACAGTAACAGTGTCTTCAAGTAGTGTCTTCAACAGTATCTCTGAAGTTAGAGTTGTTAAAAATCATGGCTTAAGAGCCATTGCTAATCTCACTCTCTGATTTACATTCCCTATCGTTCGTGCATAAACTTAAGGAAAGAATCGTAGTAATACTAGAACTACGATAACAAATATTCAGTATAAAAATGTACTGCAGGAGGAGATCACTCAGACAGATCTGATACAGTAGTTTATTGAGTTCTAATCAGTAAATTTAGGTATATAAAATATTTAATAAGTACAGGTGGGTTGGCCTTCAGTACTATTTACTACACTTATAGTTAGAATGCAATACAAAGATTATCATGTAAATTCACTCTAAGTATCTTAAATGTTACATGAATGCACAAACTTGTCGCTTACTAACACACTGATGTTTGGTGTCAGTTAAGCAATTCTTACCTGACTCCAGGGAGCAAATGTTAGCTGTTACAGGGCACATGCTTAATTGTCCTGTTACAGCAGCAGAACTCCTATAGCAAATCCTCATCATTCATATGCCTGTTTTAAGTATTACGTAGTTTGACTATCAGTACCAAATTCAGATTTGGCTATCATGCCTTTTTTGTGCAGCTATCCTGTAATGTGACCAGAATACTCTTACAGGCAAACAAGCAGTGATTGAGTGGCCCTACGCTCTTTTCTCCCTAGGAAAAAAGAAAAAAAAAAGAAAAGGAAAAAAAAGGCTGGATTATGGAAAGGGCTGAAGTACTACATGGCTATTTTGCCTCGCTCTTTATTTACTAGCAAGACTGACCTTTGGGAATCCCAGGTTCCAGAGACCAGGGAAAAAGATTTGAATAAGCTGTACCCTTGGTAGAAAAGGATCAGGTCGTGGGATACTTAGGCTAACTGGACTTATGTAAGTCTATGAGCCCTAATGGGATGCACCCACAAATGCTGACTAAGCTGGCATATGTCATTGAAAGAACACTCTGGATAATCTTGGATTGATCGTGGTAACTGGGAGAAGTGCCCGAAGACAGGAGGAAAGCATGTTACTCCTATCTTCAAGAAGAGCAAGTGGGAGAACCCAGAGAACTACAATCTGGTCACCTTCACCTTGATCCCTGGAAAGGTGAAGGAGCAGCTAATTTTGGAAACTATTTCCAGGCACATTAGGAACAAGAAAACTGTCAGGAGTAGTTAGCATGGCTTCACCAAGGGGAAGTCATGCTTGACCAACTTGACACATTTCTATGATGAAGTGACTGGCTGGGTAGGTGGGGGTAAGAGTAGTGGATAATGTCTACCTAGACTTTAGTGAGGCCTTTGACACTGTCTCCCGTTAGATGCTCATAGACAAACTGTTGATGTATGGGCTGGATAGAAAAATGGTTGAATGACCAGGCCCAGAGAAGGTCATCAGTGGCACAAATTCCAGCTGGAGGCCAGTAACTAGTGGTATACCCCAGAGGTCTGTCTTGTTTAATGTCTTCATTAATGATCTGGATGATGAGGCAGAGTGTACCCTCAGTAAATTTGCTGATGACACAAAAGTGGGAAAAGTGGCTGATATACCAGAGGCTGATATACTACCATTCAGAGGGACCTCTTCAGGCTGGAAAAATGGGCTGACAAGAAACTCATGAAGTTCAGCAAACTGAAGGGAAAAGTCCTGCAAGTGGGGAGGAACAACCCTAGTGCCAGTACATACTAGGGAGAATCCAGCTAGATAGTGGCTTAGCAGAAAAGGACTGGGGCATCCTGGTGGACACCAAGTTGACCATGAGCCAGCAATGTGCTTTTGCGACAAAGAGGCTAAAGTTATCCTTGGCTACATTAGACAAAGTATTTCCAGCAGGTCAGGGGAGGTGATCTTGCCCCCATCTGGACACAGTTCTGGGCAACTTGCTCTAGGTGGCCCTGATTAAGATGGTGTTTGGGCCAGATGACCAATACAGGTCCCTTCTGGCCTCAGTGATTCTGTGTACTGTGTGTGCAGCAGTGTTTAAGATCATTAAAAATGCTAAATGATGCAGCATCTAACTTGTATGGCCTGGCCCTGCGAAACACAGTATAATACATGGGCAAAGGCTTGTAGGTTCTGTTTGTGTTGCGTGGGAGGATGAGGCATGTCAGAAGACAGGCTGTTGACTAGATGCCAGTCTCAACAGGGAGCTTTTGAATCAATGCCCTGCAGCATGCAAGTGGCTAGACCAGTTAAAAGGAAGCACAGACTAACCTGACACTTTCCTGTTTTCTTTCCTCTTGGGATGGACAACTTGAAGCTGTTTTCTGAGAACAAGCACCTTCCTCCTTTCCTTCAGATAGCTGAAAAGGGATATCTCTTTTTTTCCTTAAATACAGCAGTGGGAAGATGCTACCCCTCTTTTTATATAATAATTTAATGGTTAGATCATTCTTTTATAACCCAGTTCCTTCTTCAGTCATAGCGAGTTGAATTAATGGCTTCCATCTCTTTGGATTGGCCCTGCCATCAGCCTGTAAGGCTTGATATAGATACATAGATGTATGAGAGTGTGTGTGAGGGGGTCAGTCTGTGCACCCATCAAAGACCTTTCTGTGTGCAAAAAGTGCTGCAGGATTCAAAGGGTATGAGTGGAGGGAAGCACAGAGCCTGGGGCAGGAAGTAACCATGATTGGAATGGCTGTGGGCAGATCTCCATCCTCCTGGGAGGGCAGTTGTGCCTATTTTCTATTTAACTGTGATTTGTATGCAGAAACAGACCATTTCTCACAACTGGCTGGCCTGCCTGCTGGGCAACTCACCTGCTTCATCTGTTTTCAACCCATGAATCTTTTAATGAAAATGGCATTTACATAGAATTGGAAGCAATGTGAGACATGGAACACAATAGGAAGCAAAGCAAAAGAGATGAAAAATAAGTGCCAGCAATCTGGAAGTCCAGAGAATAAGCATTTAAAATCCCAGTGGTACCTTTTTTTCCTTTCCGAAATATTTGACTTTGTGATGTTGATTTGAACTCGGAGCGATGGAAGACTAGAGGGAAAAATAGAGTTGAAAACTGTTCTCGAGGCAACTCTTTGGAAATTGATGTAATTACTTTACATGAAAAATGGCCTTAGAATTCACTCATCATGGAAATACCCTTAAGCAGAAGCACAGAACTGTGGTCCTCTTTATCTGGTTTCTTCTCTTGTAGAGAATTCAGTAGTAGATACTTAAAGAAAATGCAGGAGAAATTTTTCCATTTTCTTTACAGATAAGTACTAAGGCATTGTCTGAATTGAAAGGTCCTGTCGCCTTTGGAAAATTGATGTTAATTTAGTTGATTGATCTTTTCTATGAGTCCAAATAAATGAGAAACTTTTTAATATGAAATTGGCTTCCACAAATATGCTTATTTTCTGAAGCTTCAGTATGGGTGTTAATTTTGATGATGCGTCCAAACTAGGATATATACATTTATTTTTCATCTAAGAACAACATTAATGTTACTATTAATTTTCAATAATAATAATACATCTGCTTTTTAATACATTAATAATATAATCTACTTTTACTTAATATTTTCATAAAATATTAAATTATAGTTTGTGCATTTTTATTGTTACAAGCTAAATTTTTTGTCCATTGTACCTCTCTAACTCCATCCATTTGGATCATAACTGACAGCTATTATTCTTCAGTATTATCTTAGAATTTTATTTTCAGTTATGTCCTCCATGCTTCTGGGATGCAAGAGCTGTTTGACAGCTCAGACTACTCCAGAACAGTCATGGAAATGGCAATGTATAATTCTTACATAAGGGAAAGAGTGCCATCTGCTGAATTACTAACTGTGCTCTTGTGAAGACTGTTTCTTGATTTTGTGGGAAGCAATTGCTTATGCTTTACTCTGAGACAGTTTTCAACTGAGTATGGCTATTTTTATATTTGGAGAATTATTTGTGGTATAACAATTGATTCGAAACTTTAAAGTCACAGAGGACTGTGTCATTCTATCAGCATTTTTTTTTGACATTCAGAAATACTTCCATATTTTTCTAGATATTGTCTATATTTACCTGAATCTTGTCATATCCTTATTTTTCCTCTATATTGCATGTAAAATACAATCTCATCTTCACTTCTTTGTAAAACAAACAAAAAAACTCTCCAAAAATGAGAACTCTGCCATCCTGAGTTAATATTGTAGAATTGGAAGAACTTCCTTTATGGTATTAAAATTCACATCTTTACCAGTGAGCAACCACCCAGGAAAAAAACTTAAAGGGCATATTGGGCTTTCAGATTCTTCTCTTCAGAAGTATGAAAATTACAATCCAAGAACAGTTTAGGAAAAGCAATAATTCTTTTTCTTTACACCAACAGTTGCCCCAGAAGATCCTAGCAGAAAGGTAGATGGTGACACCATTATTTTCTCTCACGTGCAAGAAAGATCAAGTGCCGTCTATCAGTGCAATGCTTCTAATGAATATGGATACTTGCTAGCAAATGCATTTGTGAATGTTCTGGGTAAGAAACAGATTTTTTATTTGTCAGTTTTCTTAGTTATTTAGTTGTCTCCTGCTACTACACAGACACTGTGCTCAAGCCTTGCTTGAGGTCTTTAGTAAGAATCAATGTATTTCCTGACTCCTGTAAAAAGCAAGTGTATACATACCTGGTTTTTCTAGGGTATTCCTGAGTTTCACTTTCACTGTACCTGAGTAAGAAGGATAGTTGTGAAACCTGGAGAAAACTTGGAAGAAATTTTCTCTCTCTCTCTTTTTTTTTTTCTTGTTATGTAAATCAAGCAAATGGAAGTGTAACAAATAAGGCTGGAATTAGTATTCCTTAAGTTAGTTAGTTTCAATACAGTTTCATTGAGTGTGGATATTTCACATCAGTTGAATAGATGAATCTCTAAATTACTGTTGCAAGAGGACATGATTATGCATTTGTCTTGAAGGCCTCCCAAGAATATGTTTCTGGTTACAAGATGTTATGGCCTCTCTAATTCACACTGAATTTAACAAAGTTAATAACAAAATTCTGGGCAGAATGGCCTCTAACAACTCTCCTGCAGGAACTGGCAGATCTGTTGATTGAGACACTGTCTTTTCAAAGAAACAAAATGCAGGTATTGCACCAAATATATATCCTAGTTTCTTTCTGCCTGCAGCTTTGTTTGGATTATATAGTTCACTCTGTTCCCAGGAGATTATCTTCTTGAAGTCTTTACTGATTTAAATTTTCCAGTTGAAAACATTGCTTTTGCTACCCAGCACTGTGACTTGTAAACAGGCAAGAAACATTTGTTTTTCACAAGATAATTCCCCTTCATTAACTTCTCCTCAGGCTAGTGCCAGTAGAATGTATTTGGATCTTGACTGAGACCAGAAATCACTTCAGAGAAGGATGTTCTTTAGACCAGTCTCGATGTCTTTGGATTTTGTATTCGTATCTTTGTATCTGTATCCAGAGATCTTTGTCTTTTCAGCTGAGCCACCGAGAATTCTAACTCCTGCTAATAAGCTGTATCAAGTCATCGCAGATAGTCCTGCATTGCTAGACTGTGCTTATTTTGGGTCACCTAAACCTGAAATTGAATGGTAAGCTGAAGCTATGCCTGAGATATGGAAAATGAGCTGTTCATATCTGTGGAGACAAACACTTGAAGCTTTAAAACTATTTAAACTCTATTTACAATTTTAAAATAGTGTATTTTAAAATACATGCTGATTACAGTTTGCTAATACAATATTACATATACTTAATGTAACAGCAGTTAAGTTATCCCCACAGAGTCTAGTTTAAATTTCTTTATGTGATTCTGTCTGTATTTTCTAACGTGGCAGTCCTAAGTTTGCATTTTCTGATAATAAAATACTATAGAATTTAACTTTGATGCTGGATAATGATATTACTTTTTACATAAAGGTTTAAGGGAGTGAAAGGTAGCATCTTGCGTGGAAATGAATACGTTTTCCATGATAACGGAACCTTGGAAATTCCGGTGGCTCAGAAAGATAGTACTGGTACATACACATGTGTAGCAAGGAATGAATTAGGAAAGATACAAAATGAGGTGCACTTGGAAATTAAAGGTAAGAAATTAATCATTCATTCATCACTGATTAGTACAGAATTTCAGACTTTCTGAATATCTAATATTAATTCTAAATTTCAGATCCAACAATGATAATTAAACAGCCAGAATACAAAGTGGTTCAGAGATATGGCCAAGTTTCATTTGAGTGTATAATAAAACATGATTCTACCTTACTACCAACAGTTATATGGTTGAAGGACAATGATGAACTTCCAGATGATGAAAGGTATGGACCAGATAGTTTTCCTTTATTTTTTATTCTCTAGGTCCTTTTGTCTGCTTCTTTTCCTGATCTCTGAATGGAACATATTGACCTATTGACATTTTCCAAGGAAGACTGATAAATATCATAACTATTCCATATTTACTGACTTAAGGACTTACCTAGTGTGATGAAAATATTAAGATAGAATTAAAAATAAAATGAGATGTAATCATTTATAAAAATGTGCACACTGTCCATGCATATTAAGTGTAAGGAGAAGAGAATTTATATAAGAAGTCAAACAGATAATGGAAGACTATTTTGCTCTAGATCACATATATTTAAAAGTTGTTTGAGTATCTTTGGAAAGAAAAGCACATTAGGATAGACAGTTACTGTGGGAAAATGGTCAAGAGCAATGTAGAAAATGAAAGCTTACATTGTCCCTTAGCTTACCATGCTGTTTAGGTGTGTGCTGCAGTACACACATGCAGGATTAGATAATGTCTTATGCAAGTTTATTATAACACTGCCAGTTATTGAAAAATCAGTGGCTGAATCTGTTGTATTTACAGGTTTCTAGTTGGTAAAGACAACTTGACCATTATGAATGTAACTGATAAAGATGATGGAACATACACTTGCATAGTTAATACTACTCTGGACAGTGTTTCAGCAAGTGCTGTGCTTACTGTTGTTGGTAAGAATACTCTCAAACTTTATGATAGCAGAACTGTGTTTAATTACTGTTAAGTATTAAAAACAGCATTAGATTTAAATTGAAAAGCGCATAGTTTTGGTTACTAGGACAGGACAAAGGAAATACCACCTATGTGTAAATGTGTTTCAGCTTTTAAAAAATGTATTCTTACCCTAAAGTTTGCCTTTGAATCAGCTATTTACAAAAGGGTCCAGTAATTGCAGGGCACATTTGCTTTCGCACTGTATAGGTTTTTATTTTGACCACATTTTAGCTAACAGAGTATTTGTTCATAAACATATAAGAATCACAGAATGGTTTGGGTTGGAAGGGACCTTAAAGACCATCGAGTTCCAACACCCCTGCCTTGTGCAGAGACACCTTCCACAGAACCTCTCTGGGCAACCTGTTCCAGTGTCTCACCACACTCACAGGAAAGAATTCTTACTAATACCTAATCTAAACCCACTCTCCTTCAGCTAGGGCCATTCCCCATTGTCCTGTTGCTATAGGCCCTTGTGCAAAGTCCCTCTCCAGCTCTCTTGTAGCCCGCTTTATGTACTGGGACTCTGCCTTCTTTTCTCCAGGCTGAACAGCCTCAACTCTCTGCCTGCTTTCATGGGAGAGGTGCTCCAGCCCATGATCAACTTCATGTCTCCCCTCTGGACTCATTCCAACAGCTCCATGTCTTTCTTCAGTTGGGAGCATGTTATCTCAGAAATCTCTTTCACAACTAAATTATAGTTCAGAAGGACTAAGCATACTTGTTTGTATGACGTCCCCAGGATTTCATTTTTACCTTAGTTCTCTGTTAAGTTTTTATGATTTGAGATTATTGCAGAATATATTACTTTGCACCTTCTCCAATTTGTAAGAAAGTTTTAAGTAGATGTGCTGAACAATTCTTACCTGAGTTCAAGCTGAGAGTCAAGTATGTTTGTGTTTTAAATTTCTTCTGTGATCTTATGCCTAGGAATGATCTAAGCCAAGCAACTGGTACTTATTTAAAAGTTTTTATAAGGTTGCTTACTTATTTATTTTCTTATCTATCCTTCTTTAAAAAATGAATAAAACATTCAAGAATAGTTTTATAGCTTTTCAGTGAAAAATTATCAATGTATTATTTTAAAGTAACCATTTATCTAAATAAGTTAACTTTTCTTTGTCTCTAATAACTATAGTCTTTAACTGCCTACAGTATTCTGTTTCTTTGGCTACTAACTGATTAAATCCTTTATATTAATGTCCTTTTCAGCTGCTCCCCCAACTCCAGCTATCATTTACGGTAAACTAATACAAAGTTCTCTATCTACATCATCTGACAGATATATTTTTGATTTGCCTACTGCAAAGTGCAACATTTTTTTTCCCCCTTTTCCTCTGTGTGTGTCTGTGTCTGTTTGTGTGGTTTCATCCCATTTTACGAACTGCTTCATTACTAGAGTACTGGACTTTGGAATTTTACAGTGCAGGTTGCTTTGTATTTTAGGGAATAAGTGGTTTTCAGAAATAAATTATTTATAATTAAGGTTGGTTATAGTGTGACAATGTTTTTCTCATGGGTAAATCCACTCATAAGATGAATATGACCATATTAACCAGTTTGTCTTACAATCGATGAAACTGCTAAGATTTTAAAATTAAAGTTGAAATTAAAAAAAAATCTTTCAGTCAGATACAGTCTTGAATTTGATGGTATAAAGACTTTAATTTTATAGCATGTTTTCTGAATTTAGGTTTTCAAGTGCAAATTCTAAAACACTTCAAGGTATAAGGGTCATAAGCACTTTTATGTAAATTTTATCACATTCAATGAAAATGCTTATGTATTCTTAAATGAACCTACTCATTAGTCTTGATTTTTGTGTAAAAAATCGTATAATGAATTACCTTCGGGAATTTGGAATGGACAGATACATCTTTATGCGTTATAAGGATGCATAGTAACAGATTGCATGGTATGTCTGGACTTTTAAAAGAACAACAAAAAATAAATGAGTCAGTAACTCGCAATTAGTTTCTATTTGAATTATTCTTGATTGAATTCACACAAAAAATGTTTGTAGTGCTTCTAGAAGAGCTTCTTTGATGTGAATACTTCATTTTCCATGTTTTGTTAGATATTTCTACTACAATAGGAAACCACCCATAATCATTCAAAGATAAACTAAACATGCATTTCACAATTCCTTGCAACTCATCACATTTTTATCAAAGTGCACTCAGGCATAGGTAAAAATAAATACAGATTCTTGTTAATGTATAGAAGTTTCCAGGTTACATCGGTCCTCCCTTTTTCATTTGTTTTCTAACAATTGCATGCTAATGGTCATTAAGTCCCACTTACCTAAGTGAGTAGATATGCACTGCTGTATTTGTGGAATTCTTTTGATTGGACTGTAAGGATTGTTTTTAAATATAAAACTACATATTCTGATGTGATTATTTACTTTGTGTCCATTTGATTTATAGCTCGGCCAAATCCACCCTTTGACTTGGAATTGACAGGTCAGCTAGAAAGAAGCATTGAACTTTCATGGATACCAGGAGATGAAAACAACAGTCCCATTACACGTATGTTTGTTTGTACCTACTATACTACATTGACAGCATTATCTTAACTGTTTTCAAATTCCAAAGATTTCTGAAATAAATTTTGTGTGAAGCATGGAAAATGTTTAATGAATTCTCTGCAGCTGCCATTTAATTATGTTACAAAAAGTCACTTAATATCCTCTACTGTACAGCCAAACAGAAAGACTTATTTACTGCCCAAAAGAGCTGGACCTTTTTATTCAAAAAACCTGTGCTAGATAACATAGAAGTTAATGCATATATGAGGTCTGTCTGACAAGGTCCAGTCTCATGAATATGTAGAAAGTAGACTTTTTTTGTTGGTTGTATGCCCTTGAAGGAGAGAGCTACTACCATCTTGCATTAACTCCTTTGTAATTCCTGGGAATTTGAAATAGCATCAGTACCACTATCTTTAGGGATTATCCATCAGTACTGATACAGAAGCTCATTCTACATGAAAATATAATGCAGATAGTTTTTCTGGTTTTCTTTCTTTTTCTAGTCCAGACAGTTAAAAGAGTAAAGCATGTCCATGCAACAGAAAAATAAATGTCTATAAATTTTTGAGACAGAAATTGATCTTAAATGCTGTTACTCTTCCCAGTAAAACATGATGAAAGACATTCTTACTTATACTGAGCAGAGAGGATGGAGGGGGAATTTAGGAGGAAGGAACAAAGATATTACTGTTTGTTTTCCAAAAAATCATATGATCAGAAAGATTTGTTGGGGTAACTTTTTCCCTATGAGGAACTTAATGCAATTATTTAATTATTTGTGCAGTGTCTTTTTAGATAGTAACTGCCACAAGTTACCAAGACCAGTGTACATGTTATGTTTGGTATGAGTTAGTTAGGCTGATTTACTGGGTGTTGCTCTCCAACATCTGATGTTGGTCGTTATCAACACAGAACACAAACCGTTAGGTCAGGTATCTGTAAAGGAAGTTTTATAAAAAACAGAATTTCACAAATTTCAGAGCACATCAAAGATTTTGACTGCATTTTAATGAAACGCCAAGTGATTTTGCTGAAATTTTACACTCTCGGACTTCTCTAATGTATATCAACTAGTAATATACTTTAAAAAATATATAGAAGATTAATGTAAATAGTTGAATTTTATTTAAGTTATGGTTTATTCATATGCTCTTTTATTAGTATTTTCATTTTATTTCCAGACTAGAATACACAAGTCTTGTCTTTCTGTAGGAATGAGATCACAGTGTATGAAAAACGATAATACTAAGCGATGTTGGCTTGTGTAGGTTTTTCTAGAGTGAGATATTGCATGCACTCTGATATCGAAAACTGAGCTCCTCTGACTAAATAATGCTGGTTTTAATTATAATGGAATTTATATTGCTGCATGGTCCCCTTAGAGCCTGAAAAGTAAGGTATTTGCTTCCTGAGTAAGCCTATTTTTCCTGCTGCTGCTGCTATCACTTCAAAGTGCAGATCAGGACTCAAGGATAGCACTTCATTACCAGTGATCCCTTTACACAAGTAATATGATTGATATGGTAGAATCTTTCTGAAAGTTCAGATAGATTTTTTTCCCTTGAAGTTGCCTATAAATTGTTCTACTAGAGTTGCAGACAGAATGCTAGTTATTAGGGAAGCAAATAGCAGTAATGAAAACTTTTTTAGCATGTAATATTCTCACCTTTTCAGCAAAGCTTTGGTCCAGAAGACCTCCCATCCCAAAACCTTTATTGGTGAGCACACACCACCAGCAGTAATTCAGACAGTAATTTGGGGTCAGTTCTTTTTCGTTCTTACTACTTAGACCAGAAGGAAATCTGCTAGTCCTGAGTCCAGAAGGTTATGATTAGTACTAGTTATGTATTTTACGTCTTGACTCCTCAAACTCTTGCGCATTATTTCTATGTGGTGCTGTAAGTATCCTTCTAAAAGAAATTTCTAGATGCCCCTCAGAATTTCTTAGTAGTGCAAGCAGGATGTATTCTGAATCATACTCTGTCTTCTTGTCCCCACCTACACATGAGATAGGGAAAAATTCTTGTTACACAACACACAAATATTTGATGCTTATGTAAATTTCATATATCTAAACTTAAAGTTCCATAGAATGTACTCAGACTGTGCATTCTTGTCCCATTTATTTACTGTGTCCTAACAATTCCTCCTAAGTCTTTCAGAATTCATATCTCATACCTTAGAGCAGTAAGGTTTTTTGAGTGTTTCACAGCTGGAAAAATACATCCTTTTGTCTTTGATAATGAATGTGATTTTCTTTTTGGAACTCTACAAGCCTATTTATCCCTGAGGTTATATACTTTGTAGGGTCTTAATAGTAATCATTGTAATGTTCTCACAGAAAACTCAAGAAACTTAGTTTCTGAACATACATTCCCAGACTTAATTTGAAGATACTGAAAAGTGCTCTCAAAAACCATCTAAAGTATTGATTCTTGGCTTTAAATATTTCTTCATTAAGCCAACTTCACTGGGGAAAATGGAATTTTCAGAGTTTTAATTTTGTACAGGTACTAGATGCTGTCTGCTTGATACAACTAGGAACAACATGTTTGACAGCCAAATTTACATCAAAATTCCAATCTTGTTCCTCTTTCGTGCTGTGATAGTTCAAGGGTTCCCATTAAATTAAAATTCGGTACTAGAGAGAGAGCTCTTGTAATAACATGTTACCTGAAAGGTACCTGCATTAGTGAGAATACCAAAAGATAAAAGTGAGGGTGTATTTACTATATTTCTACCTAAGCAGTGCTGTGCCTTTTGCAACCAGACGTGCCTGTCTCGTATTGGCCTTTTTAGCCACCAGTGCGCTTGTAACAAACGTGGGTAGAGCCCTCCTCAAATCTTTGTTCGTGAAGCCCAACTGTGATGACCTAAGCAGTACTTCTGGTATTATAGATCTGTGTTATGGTTTATGTATTTATTTCCAGTTCCACAATATTTAAAAGCATTGATTAGAGCACTCCCTTCTGATTACCCTGGTCTAGGAAGGTGTTGCAAGTTTTGACATAAAGTTGGATTCAATTTCTGTTTGCAGACTTTGTAATTGAGTATGAAGATGGGCTGCATGAACCAGGAGTATGGCATTACCAGACGGAAGTTCCTGGAACTCAGACAACAGTACAGTTGAAGTTGTCTCCGTACGTCAACTACTCATTCCGTGTGGTAGCTGTCAATAAGATTGGCAGAAGTCAACCCAGTGAACCATCTGAGCAGTACCTGACAAAATCTGCAAGTAAATAAGTATTTCTTCTTACCAGTGATTGACTTCTACTATGAATAGCATTGAATTTACTTGGAATCAAACAGCAGTCATTCTTGTTCACGTGTAAATATTTTATTTTTAGACCCTGATGAAAATCCTGCTAATGTGCAAGGGGTAGGCTCAGAACCCGATAATTTGGTAATAACATGGGAGGTAAGTTGGATCTCTTTTTGAGGTTTCATTTGTTTTCAGGTCTGTGAGTAGCATTTTTTGAGAAATAATGTTGAGAATACCCTATACATTGCTTACTTAAAATATTCTTGAAAAAGAGTTAAATTCAGATATTTCCCTGTCTTCATTTCCAGGAAAAAGCTGAGTGCTTTTTGAGATAAAGTGAATTAGTTAAGGGACCATGTTTTCCTGAGTGATTTCTCAAGATAAGCCAATAATTAGGTAATACAGGATGTTTTGCTGCCAGTTTAGGAAAACTTAAAGATGTAAATTGAGGTTTGTCTCAAGTAGAGTCTTATTTTTAGAATAATTTTTAATGTGAATCCTACTTGTACTGTCATCTTTTGTGATGAACTAAATCATTATGAACTTTTACGGTAAAAAACTTTGATCAAAGTTTTCTCTATCATGCCTTTACCGTCATGATGGGAACTCAAGCAGAGCCATATAAACCCAGTTTCCCATCCCAGGCAAGAAACATTGTCTAGGAAACACTATTTATAGGGAGTCAGTGTAAGTCTGCTTTTTCCTCTTCCACTTCTTAAGAAATATTTGAAATCAAAACATATATGCAGAAATCACAATGTCTTGTTGTGTGAGAATTAGCCACCATCACCATTCAGTGTGATTTTTATTAAAGAGTGAAAAGCAACTGAAGGGACCTCTGGTAAAAGCTAAATTGCATAACTTAGAAATTTCAGTAGTGCTTCTTTGTCACAGCAGAGTGGTAAATTTTCAGTGAAATTCTAAAGAAAAAAATCAGTATATTTCCTTTGTGACTTTGGATTTTTCAGATGCTTCAGAATATTTAAAAAGATGTTTCTTTTCATTTCAGTCTTTAAAAGGTTTTCAGTCTAATGGACCAGGACTTCAGTACAAAGTCAGTTGGCGCCAGAAGGATGTTGATGATGAATGGACATCTGTTATAGTTGCAAATGTATCTAAATATATTGTGTCTGGTACACCAACTTTTGTTCCCTATGAAATAAAAGTACAAGCTTTAAATGACCTGGGATATGCACCAGAGCCGTCAGAGGTGATTGGACATTCAGGGGAAGACTGTAAGTTTTGCGGTTTGACTCAGTTATACTAATGTAAAGGAACTAAATGTGTAACCTAAATGGGTATTTAACATACTGAAATACTGATAAGGGAATAGTGGTTATTATTTTAATTAAAAGGAAGTAATTTGGAGATAATAAGGCTCCATAATACTCTGTATTATTAATCCTGAAAACATAGGAACATTTTAATCTATTCCTTGAGTACAATGCAAAGTCTCAGTTTGAAAAAGTATGTTCGTGTGGTTTCTCATTCTAACTGGGTGCTTGTTGCATCCTTTCCACACAGTGCCGATGGTTGCTCCAGGCAATGTGCAGGTTCATGTTGTTAACAGCACATTAGCAAAGGTGCATTGGGACCCAGTTCCACTAAAAACTGTCCGAGGACACCTCCAAGGGTACAAAGTAAGTACAGTCTAAAGCATTCTCTTTTTCATTTGTTAAAATAGAACGCTCTTCCTATATGAGATTGTATTCAGATCGAAGTACCTGATATATAAGAGGACTCTTCAGTGAGCTCCAAGTTTTACTGATAAGAGCAACAGCTTTGATACAATTCATATATAGTTCAGCAATGTTCCAGCCTTGTAGCTCTAGGTGCCTGTGGCATTGTCCTGGAAGGAAAACAGGATGCGTTTGCAATTAAGTTTGCATACGTTAAACTGATAAAAAATTTACAATTTTACAGATCTTATTCAAAAATAATATTTAGAGGATGTGAAAAGATCGTTTCTGTAGGAATCTCTTCTAGGTCTAACGCTAAGGTTACTCATCTTCTGCCACAATATGCTTAATCATATCTTTAATTCTGAGTAACTGGCCACTTCCTAATATGGGCTGGGTTCTGTGTCTTTTTGGAGGCCAGAAAAAAGTTCAGTGTAAAAGCTTAATTTAAGGACATAGGAAATGGCAGAAGAGTTGAAGTGCCCATAAAATTGAAGGAAGCTTATTGTAAGGTAGTGTGCTCCCTTTGATGATAACTGAAAAGGCTGTGTTGGAGACAAAAGACTGCAATATATATAGCAGAATTAATATATAATTAGAGAGTGCAATATATTAATAGAGGATGGGAGACAGAAGGACTTCAAGATTAGATACTGGGGGAACTGGTATCCCTGGGGGATAAAGAAAATCTGATGGCAAAAGTTGCTTCAGAGGTTGCACTAGAATCCCTTCAAAAGAAACTCAGGGGTGCAATCTGAAGCAGCAGGGTAGAATGATTGTGGAGGGAAGAGTGGAATGTGAGGATATACTGACTTCCTATGCAGCAATAGAAGAAAATAGAAAATAATATATTTCTTTGCTCTTTGCTCCTTAGCAAGTATGCTGATAAGTATGTTCTAACAAAACAGACTGAACTAGGTTACTTTTTAAGACAGACTAATTTGAACTACTTCTCTTTAAATGAAAGGAGGTAAAAGAAGCATTTGAAAAATTAAAAGAGGAAAGAGAATTTGGAAGAGAATAAATGTATATCATACTTATAAAATGGAGGACTAGCGTGCAAAAGCATTGAAACTGAACTTCAGTGCTCTACAGCTGTTTACCACGTGCATGTGAATTCCTGGTATGTGAATATCACTTCCCTGGCACAAAATACCACCATCCAGAGAAACTTAAGCTAGTTCTGTATGAGCTGGCATAAGTGTTTGTAGTTAGTGTGGTGCTTTGCACACTAACTCACTAACTTAGCCTCTTAAATGTTTATCTGTTAGACAACAGACAAACTTGTTGTTTCGCACACAAATGGGTGACCAAAAGTAAAGGTCCATTATGTGAGGATTAGTGAGTTAGAATTAAGTGAAATTAGTGCTTATTATTAATCCAGTAATCCAAAGCACCAAATTTCTATTAAAGATCTATAACAGTACCAAAAATTCTATAGACACGTGCATCTGCCCGTACATCAGGTGTTAAGTTCTCACCCTTCAACAGCGTGGTTACGGTGAGTTGTCATCATCCAAAGTTTAGGCAGAGATTTCTTTTTCCTCAGACTTGCAGTATCTGATAGTTATCTTCTGTCCCGTCATTACTAATGGGTTATACACTTTCCTTTCGAGTGTATCTAAGAGATTAGTCATGGTATGATTACTTCTCTTTAGTGTCTTATATATATATATATGTACACATATATATATATATATACTCTATATACAGTATCATTTTTTATTGTGAGGAGGAGAACCACACAATTACACAAAGCTAAGCAAAACTGAAGTTAAAATAAGTTACTTGATAATCATGAATAAAACAATCTCAGAACAACAGGATTGACAACAAATCTGACCACTGAGTGGTTTTGCTGTTCTCCCTAGGACAAATGTGACAATGGTATATCCCTTGAATAAGCTGCAGATGCAGCAAGAGTTTCTTAAATAATTTTTGCAGATACAGCTAAATCAAGCTAAAATAGGTTAAAAACTAGGCAAGGCATGAGAAGTCCTAAGACCTGGTGGATGGTTATTGTTATAAAGCTTTCTCTGAATGCAAAATGAAAACTTTTCATGGATGAATAGAATATTTTTAATCTCTGTTTATATTGACATAGCTTACAAAGCACACGATTAGCTCTTTTTACACAAGGGAGCAAAATCCTGCTAGCATATTCAGGCTTTCCTAATTAATAAAATTATTTCAGTCAGTAGCCCAGTATACAGTGTTTCATTAGGGACAGATTTGTTAATAAAGAGAGGGGTGCTTCTCTAAAAAGTCACGTGATGAAGACAAATTTATGAACAAAGCAGGAAGACATCTAAATAAGCAGCAGTCTACAGCACATCATTCATATTTTTGATCTTGTATTAATCTAGCTATTACTCAATGGTACTATAAAGCTTTTCAAACCTAAGAAGAAAATAAACAATTATGTATTTGGAGGTGACAATCCTAGGAGTAACACAAGTCTTTGTAGGGGCAACTATTAATATCTTTTGAGCTATCATGCTAGAGATACTATGTAGTAAAGAGAGTGCAGTCAGAGTACATCTGAGGCTCATCTGTAGTTTCTTAGAAACTCAATCAGCAAGATGGACATCAGAATCAGCTTTATGGTCTGATCAAATTGTCACATAAATGGAGGAATAGTCTTCTATCCCTGTGTGGAAACCATTCCAATGCTGTAACCTCAGAGTCATTTCAGAATTTATGTGTTTTTTCCAGCCAAATCTTTTGGTTTCTTTCCCATTTAATGACATGTACTTGTAAACATCTTACTAGAAGAATAGATGGTATAGGTGACTTCTGCCTCTCAGATAGTCTTGCTAACAGGAGAATAATCACATACCAATGCAGTTTCAGACCAGAACTTGTGTCAGACTGTCTTTAAGCATTAGCAGAACTGGCAGGTGGTAGTCTTCGCCCAGTTGTGTAGTTGTGTAGACTGTTTCTGCACAAGGTCTGTTTCTGGAGCAGGAAAGCTCTATGCTGTGTCTCACCTGAGCTTATTAAAACTACTGTTATTCCTATCTATAATTCATGAACACTCATGGAAAAGCTTAGAGTTTGTAAAATCAGAATACCTAAACACTCACTGTAGCCTTTTTTTTTTGTCTTTAGGTTTACTACTGGAAAGTGCAGAGTCTATCCAGAAGGAGTAGGCGGCATGTAGAAAAAAAGATCTTGACTTTCAGGGGAAACAAGACTTTTGGAATGTTACCAGGGCTGGAGCCCTATAGTTCTTACAAGCTGAATGTTAGAGTTGTTAATGGTAAAGGAGAAGGACCAGCAAGCCCAGACAAAGTATTTAAGACCCCTGAAGGAGGTATGAAATGAGAAAGCTAGAGAATAAACTGAAACATAAGCTTGGACATCATAAAATAATAATCTGTCTCAATACAGTAATATTATTAAGAGTTAATTATTCATGACCTGTTTAAAGTTAATCTACTTTGTATTTACTGTATGTTCTTCTTAAAAGTTCCTAGCTCACCCTCCTATTTGAAGATTACTAACCCAACACTGGACTCTCTGACTCTGGAGTGGGGTTCACCTACGCATCCAAATGGTGTTTTGACATCATATATACTGAAGTTTCAGCCAAGTAAGTTAATTATGATATATTATGGGGGTTGGACCTGGGTGATGTTTAAGGTCCTTTCCAACCCAAACCATTCTGTGATATAACTCTAACTTAGGCGATACATCTACCAAATGGTATGAAGAAAAAATTATGTTAATATAATAAATTATGTTAATATACAATGTAAAAAAGATATGATTGCACTGTAGATGTCAAGTTTGAAAAAAATTAATATATTTTGATAATATAGATAGTTGTATTTGGAAAACTTTCCTTGCTCAAGTACAAGGTTAGCATTTTTCTTTTATTTCTTCAAATCATACTTCACAGAAAAATGGAGGTGAAGTCCTACATACAAGTGGCATCCAAGTTAGACGCAAGATACTACTACTTACAAATTCTATATTCTAACTGCACAGAAATTATCATCAGAAACAGATCAAAAGATGTCCAAATACATTGTCTTCTGTTGTTTCAATTGTCATGGTAATAATAAATGTGCCATTTACTGATATCAGAGCTATTAAATCACTTCTGTAGGATCCCAGCTGCTTACTTAACCCAGAAATTTGTCAGCAGTGACAGTGGAAATTTAAGAGTTTTGTGTGCACTGAACAGATTAAGGAAGTTTACTTTCTTCCACTTACCAAATTCCACTATTCTTTGGTGTTTGACACAAGTCACTTCAGTATTTTCTTCTCCTAGGGATACTGAATTCAGAGCTTCAGAATTCTTTAATGATCAGTGTTTCAACTCTGTGTAAGTTCAGATGATCTGATGTGAACTCAGTTGCCTTGGATTTAGACATGGATTTATCTAAATAGATAAATTTTATAGATTTATGAGAATGGAACTTGAACTTAAAAAACTGGCACGTTTTTTAAGTGCCTGTTAATTTCCCAGTTAATTATCTCCCTGTTAATTTTGGCCCCTTGAACTGATCCTTTTTACACAAAGGAGACTCTTTACATATGCAAACCAAAAAAAGGCTTTTTTAACATAATGACAATATACGCAACTTTCCTAACTTTTTTTTCTTTTTCTGGTAACAACAGTCAACAACACACATGAATTGGGTCCCTTGGTAGAGATAAGAATTCCTGCCAACGAGAGCAGCTTGATATTAAAAAATTTAAATTACAGCACACGATACAAGTTTTACTTTAACGCACAAACTTCAGTGGGATCAGGAAGTCAGATAACTGAGGAAGCAGTAACAATTATGGATGAAGGTAAGATGGGTATGTATAAGGAAAATCCATTGCGTTTAAAAAAACATTACAGACTGTGTTAAAAATTTTGCTGTTACTTCCTTCCACTTAGGAAATAGGCCTTAGTGATTTTTTTCCTAGAGCTTTCTTAACTGTATTATGCACTAATAAAATATGTTAAATGGTTTTTAAGAAAATACATGCAAAGGTTTTGTACTGAAGTGGAAGCCCCAAAAGAGGTGTAAAGCCCCTTTTTTTGATATAAGCTCACAAGCTCTAAGACATTCACTTTTCTGGGCTTCAACTACCACATAACTTTACATTTTTTTGTGGTCTTTGTCTGTTCACCTGTTCTACTTCATTGACCATCTTTGGTCACAGAGAAAAATACAGAAATGATCCAGCTTTATAACTAGAGGAAGTTTTTTGGCTTTTGAGACATCCAACAACTTCTGTGGAGTCTAAATTTTTTTCACAGAGCTGGCAAAAAACTGTAAAGCTGTTGCAATAAATTTGTCTTCTATGGCCTCAAGTAACTGGTGACATTGCATAGTATTTAAAAACTACCAAGTATATTGTTAAATCCCGTCACTATTGATTTTTATATTTACAGGCATTCTAGAGCTTTGATTTTGGCAGGTTTTTGTGTTGGAGTTGTTTAATTAAATCTGAAAACTTAATAAAATAAGAGTAATTTAAAGCCACTGGAAAATTTGCGTGGAATTTTTTTATTATTTTGCTCATCTTAATATGAAAAGTCTATTTCGGTAGCATCTTTTTACATATTTTTATGCTTAGTTAAAGATATCATTTGTTGTCATAGATGAGTTGGTATGCAATGCAATTTCTCTGATACTGTGTATTAAGGTTGCATTAAACTGCATTTATTTTAAATATGGAATCTTAACAAGCATGAGCAATAAAATTTTGTAAATGCACGTATATTAATTTTTGTCATGTAGCAGTCTGTCAGTGTTTAGCTTCTAATTTATTTGAATTAATACATTTTATGTAGTCTGCATGCTTTTTATTATGAAGTTATATATGTACGTTCCCTTTGGTGTTGTATCTAATTATATAGTGTTCCTATTCTTGTTTTCCTCCATTAAAGCTGGTATTCTCCATCCTGCTGTAGGTGCAGGCAAAGGTAAAATGAAACTGCATGATATATTAATGTGTGGATTTTGCAGTGTTGCAAATGGGGAAATTGCAGTGGTAAGGACAGAAAATCTTGGACTACAGATTTTTATACAAAGTATAATCAGTGCTGGAAGAAAAGAGTTGTGGGGGTTTTTTGTTTGGGTTTCTTGGGGTTTTTTAAGGAACACAGAATGCTTATTAATACCTTTCATCTGTTTATTTTGCCACAGAGTTCCAGGGGAATTCATTAGCTTCGCTTCAGCAAAATCTAATTATTTCTGAACATTAAACAGATGTATGTCACTGTCATAAATATTCAGGGTCCAGGTGCACTAGCATTGATTAGCCAGAGTAGAAAAAACAGCACTTTTGCAAAGGAGATCCTTTTGCTGCTTGTGCCATGTGCATTTTTTTGTTTTAAAAAGTAGGTGCATTCTTGTTGTCACTGTGGATTAATGCTATTATTTGATCACATTTATGTCATTTGCAAGCCAACTCTGCATAAGAGACAGATGACTGACAATACTCTCTGTATACTTCTCAGTTCAGCTGTCAGATTGGTGGGGGTTGGTCTCTTCTCCCAGGCAACTATCAGCAAGAAAAGAGGGCATGGTCTCAAGTTGTGCCAGGGGAGGTTTAGATTAGATATTAGAAAGAATTTATTTACAGAGAGGGTGATCAGACATTCCAATGGGCTGCCCAGGGAAGTAATGGATTCTCCATCCCTGGAGATTTTTAAAAAGAGACTGGATGTGGCACTTAGTGCCATGGTCTAGTAACCGCAGCGATAGTGGATCAAGGGTTGGACTTGATGATCTCAAAGGTCCCTTCCAACCCGGCTAATTCTATGATTCTATGATTGAATATACAGACAAATGTCTTCCTGCTGTTTTAGATTCACAGATCTTGTGAGTGAATACTTGAGGACATTTCAGTGAGTGGAACCTATTATCATCCTTCTTCCTAAATTCAGTAATATTTAGTTCTTTATTATGCAGTTTTGCACACAGTTTTTATGAATTTTGCTACCTTTGCTGTCAGAAGCAATGGTTGTCCTGAGAACTGTAAGGTAGCTCAAAGTCAGAAACATGTCTCTATACATATGTGTCATTTAATCACAGGTGTCATTAACACCAATGAACACTGTGCTTCAAATTCCCAGACTATAAACATCCCAAATCAAAATCTGTTCATGAAATACCCAACATTTTTTTACAAACTTGAAAGAGACAGCATAAATTGTTTTACCTATAGTTTCTTTTCACTTGATTATCAGGTGTTGTGAATGATAACAGCCATAAGAAAGAAATTCATTCTCTCAGTCTGGTGTAAATCAGACTATATGTATATATATGTATATGCCTGTATTTGTGCATGTATAATTAATATATATTTTAATATGTATATATAAGTGTATTCTAATATCAGCTGTGTTTCTGGTAAGTGTGTGGAGTTGTGGAATTATTTTAATGACATATCTTTCTTGCTGTTTTAGTCTAGTTGTAGCTGAGAAGTCAGCTCAGATTGGAACAATCAAACTGGCTTTAGTTGTGGACATTCACAGCAGAAATGTTAATTAAGTTCTCATTATTTATAGCTGACTTTAAAAACTCATGCAAGGAAAAACGGATTCTCTGTGTGAAACTGAGGTCTAATTATAACTGTATCACAGTCTGTGGCTAGGAGAAAGCATCTTACTTGTAAGATAAGCTGGAGCAGCTCATATTTCAGAGCTGTCGCCTCAGATCCTCTGAAAACTAAGCAGATGTCTTTGTTTGGTTCCATGTTGTTTATGGTTTCAAAGTTCTCCCATATTCCTGTAACATCTAGTTCTAACAATTACAAAGAAAACTTTGGAACTGCAAACAGAACAGAACTAAAGCCATGACATCTGTTAGGACATCTGAGTTGCTGCAGGTCTGAGATTAATGTTCTCAGTGGTTACTTATATTAACATGTTAACTGTTTTGCTACTGATCAGGGACCACAAGTAAGAAAAAGGAGGGTCATAGTATCAAGATCAAGTGTCAAATTATTTGGTCTCATGAGTGGGTGGATTTGGAAGATAGAAATGCTCAGCCCTCTCAAGAAGAAGCTGTACCCAGCAATGAACTTTTCTTTCTCTATTAAGTGCAGGAGGGCCTATACGTCTATACAGTTTTTACTAATTTGGACGCAAAGCCAAACCAAGGAGAAGGTGAAATTTAGATATTCTGAACCTTTTCATGATCTATCAAAAACATCTCAAGTTTTTGATTTTTTACTAGGAAAATTTAAGTATGCTTTTTATTTCAATGTGAGCACATTTATCTTGGAAGTTAACAAGACAGTAGGTCCTAGCTTCAGCCAGACCAAATTGCACTGAAATTTCTGCACTTGGTGTTTTCTACTGGATAGCTGCCCCTGAAGACATGCAGCTTGGCCAGTCACAAACATTAGGCACAATGTCCTAGAGGAATTAAAATAATTTAAACCTGAGTGAGCTGTGCCACTTGGGACATATTTCACTTCTCAGAGTAATACTATGTATTAAAGTGCAGGGGAAAATATTGCTACAGTAAATCTAAGGGTCTTAATAGTCTCACTACTTTTATTGTCACGTGCACGTGAGTAAATCATGAGACACGTTATTTAGCTAGATGGAAAGCTATCCTGTTTGACTCGCACTGTTGTTTTTCCTTTATGATACTGTAATGTTATTAATTACTTAAATTTGATCAAATTGTGGTACTACAAAGAAAAATTTTTTTTTTCTTAATAATCTGTATTCTAAATGTGTCTTAAAACTTCATATGTAAAACATAATATATTATACCCAGTACTAGATACTCAGTATGCATTGGTATTGCTATATATGTATTGGCAACTAACCACAGGCATGAGGTATGAGAAAAATTGGAGAATAACCCAATTACATATAAAATAAGTATAGCAGCAGCTGGAAAATTACTCAGGTGATCACTGGAGTCAAGTCTTTTCTGCCCTTTTCCATTAGAAGTTTTTAAGGACTGGTCTGTAGAGGAAGGAAGGGAATACCAATTTGACCAGTGATAGAAATAAAAGTTACTGGTTAAAATAGAGAGTCACAAGGGTGCGTGTTTATTGTAAGCTGAAGTGTAGGAGTAATGGCATGGCATGTCAGCTTCATTTCACAAGCCTTTTCATTTAACTTACTAGTTTCTTTTTGATTTAGTCAACGTTTTTATTTGAAAGCAAGGTCTTGTAATCTGCATGCACACAGGCACTGGTAACTGGTAGTCTTGAACTGCAATTAAAATAAGTTTGTGAGATCACAGTAACTTTTAATTGTAGCAAGCACTTTCTGTCACTGTGGTACTCAGTCTGGTCTGCCTTCTTCATGTGAACTTCACGTCTTAAGTATTATTGACAGACAGTACTCCCTTTTGCTGCAAGGGAGAAAAACAAGTAGTCTATCCTCTGGATTTGAAACCATTTTTTTGGATCTTTTGGCTGAATCACCAATATGTAGCTTTTCACTAGAGTCTCAACAGAGTTCATATCTCTGATCTCTTTGTAGAAGGCAGGATCATCTCAGTTTTCTTTGTCTATACAAAATGCTGTTCTTTAAATAATTTTCTCTGTCCACCGTCTGCTTTCCCTCCCTCTTTGAATCATTTCACATAATGTCTCCATATTTCTTTCTAACAATTTCAAGCTGCTTTTTCAGTCAGGTTAAGTGCAGTATTTTTGTACTGCTCCTTCAGCCACTCTCCCCCTGTGGACTTGTCCATGATGTATCTATGTGATTTCAGTACAACTTGCTATGCAGAACCACTGTTTTGTCCTCTTTTAAGTTTACTGGGAACAATGCTCATGCTTTGCATGTTAGACTAGAGAAAATTATTATTATCACAACGCAAAAATTACTCAAACACCTTTTGCTTTGTAGATGTCATGCAAAATCCATGCCATGCTAAATGCTTATCAGTGAAATGATTTCTAGTGGTTTTTATTTGGATTCTGTATTTCTCACACTATGGGAATGCTCTTGCAATTGACCTAAATAATCTCAGAAGTGACTAATGCCTATCTCTCGCTTCCAGAAATGAAATTCACTCCTACCATTATTCTAAAGCTTGAATTTTATAGGTTAAAAAAGCAAACAATACCAAAACCCCTCTCTGACAGGCTCTGGCAGAATCTATTACCTTTTTTCTTCATCTTTTCTTGTGTGTGGCTGTGAGTTTTTTCCTTTAAATTTATTTTTCGCTTTATATATGCATTTTAACTAATTGTCTATGTTATATTGGTTTGCAGGTTCTTTTCCATTTGACACTAGCCTTCAAATTTTTGCTTGTCACTTACCTAATTTTTTTCTAGATATCAGGTGAATTCCATGAAAATTCCTAAAGTTAGTCACTCTGGGGATTATTTGGTTTTTTGTTCTTCTGGACTAAATCTTGAGAAAGAGTACCTATTCCATTGTTAAAATACCTTCGGATCTCATGTCCTGTCTTATTAAATTCTGTTTCTGCAGCCCAAGTCTAACTGTTATTTGTAGGAACTGTGTTGCTGAAAGACTGAAAAATTAAACAAAACTCTACAAAAAACTCCAGTAAAAAAGCACTGGAATTAATTTGAAAAGAAAGGGAAATTTTAGTTGGAGCTTAGGCCTCTTTCTCAACAATTGGCAAATGCTTCTATACTATATCTCACTACAGGAATGAAACCATATTCAGCAGCGCTGGCTAAATGTTGCAGTGTATTGAGGTGGGAATAAAGCTTAATTTGCCAAAGGTAGCCAAATAAGAGTCATTCTGTATAAAAACTGTAACTTACTGGCAGCCCATTCCCATAGTTTTTAGCGTGATGCCTTTGCCAGCACTGCTGCACAGCGTTGTACATGGTACATATGAAAGAGCACAATGCTCTGCCACCGAGAGCCATTCCCTGAAACAAAGCTTCCTCCCCTCCTCCCCTTGTCACCAGCTGGCACTCACACACTGAGAGTTTCTGCCAACTGATAATGACACATTTTGCATTTATGAACAGTGCTGGGAAACATATTGAAAAACTTGGAGGTTAATTATAATTAGAGGTGTGGTGATTGAAAAGACAAGTCTGGGTGGATTAAAGACGCTTTAAATGTTGTAACCCCTTCAGCTCTAGGCTTTCATCACCTAAGGATCCATCAGCCATCTTTTATCTAATTATGTGTGTAGTCATGTAAAACTTTGCAGGCCTGATGGAAAATGAGATCAAGCAATAGTGCAAAAGAAGAGAATTATAAAAATAATAATTTTGAAAAGAAATGTGCTACTGACAAAATTTCTTGGTACACTGTATTCAAAGGGAGAAAACAACAGAATTTAAATCTGACCAAATACTACACATACATAAATCTATACAAACAGCTGTTGGTAAAAATCTGATAAGAGTACATCTGATAAATATAAGCATAAATCAGTCACTTGAGAGGATTTAGAAACTTAAGACACCAAGGAAATGAAGGTAACTTTCAGAATCAACTTGATTGTTACATGCAATCATATGAACAGAAAGAATTTTACCAGATACTTTAATCTAGCAGGCAACTCTTCAGTCAGAGTAGAAACTGGAAACTGGACATGGAAAAAGATAAGATTGAGTGATTATTGAATTTCCTTAGTGTTACAGAAGCTCTCTATCATCTGGAGTCTTTCACACAAGATGAGACAGTTTCCTTCATCCCAAAAGTGCTCAGACATGAGAAGGGAGAAGTTAGGGATAATGCTGTGGCATCTGTGTGCCAGTTTTTTCTGTCTTTAACATTGGTGACAGATATCAGTCATATAGTTATGCTAATTAGACATCTTCTGTGGGAGACCAAAATCCAGGAAAATATGGCTTTGAGAAAATACAATTTAATGAAACAAAACAAAGTCATATTTAGAATACAAGCCAGTTGTTTTCTTGACACAGTAAAGATGCTTAGATGCTGATTGTTACAAACACCTGTTCCTATGTGCAAATCAAGAAGGAAGTTTATATATCCTGTCTGCAATCTCAGACTCTGCACCCTCCTAAATTTAGAGATGGCTATTCTTTCCTCTTGCTGCTTTCAAGTGGCACAGAGAAACAGAATCTAATCCCCTTGCATAGTGTATATGGTTACATGCTAGATTTCCTGCAGACAGCTCTGGCTTTGGTATTTCTTCGGGTTAGTGTCTTAGTAACCTAGATGGCTTTTTTCTTTTTAATCCAGTGATTTCTATTTTATTTTGTTCAGCTGATTTTAGCCAAGAAATAAATATATTCTTTATTATTTAAATAATAGATTTCTTATTATTTTGGTTGGTAAAAGAAATTATATATAAGCACAGCTTACCTACAGAGACATCAGATGAGGGAGTAATCAACAACTGATTGAATTGTTGAATGAGTACTACTGGAATATTGTAAGAATGTTTGATAATCAGAATACATTCACAGGAGAATTGATGGAATTTGCATAATTTATTTAAAAAAAAAAGACTCAAAAACTATAGTTTTCTAGACATGGCCCTCATATTACTTAGTTTGTGCTAGGGGACAAAGTAAGCCATTTTCACTTTGAATATAACTTGAAACTTTTTCCAGTTGGCCATATGGACAAAGCCATCCTGTTTGAAGGAGAAAATAATTTATAGATAAATTCTGTGCAGCCCTCTTCTTGTGTAGAGAAAACCATTGGAATTCTGCCATTGATCTTTACTGAGACTAAGTTTTTACCTCTGATGTTTCATGGTCCTTTGGGAAGCATTTTTACTGTTATTTCTAACAGAAAGGATATTTTTAGCAGGATAGAAAAGTCAGTGACAAACCAAGTAAGGCATTTTCATTTAAAATATTTCATGCCTTAGTGAAGCATCCTCTTTGTATCTGCACTATTACATCGTTAGAACTCTTAAAATCTATTTTTTCATTAATATTAGGCAAGCAGAGATACTGAGATATATGTCAATTTGTAACAGGCATAAGTGGAGCTAAGGTATAAGCAAAGAACTAAGATATGAGCAAAGAAGTGGCTAATTACAGAATGCTGAAGAGAGAAGCTCTTCTTTTCATAGATGTGGGCATTATGCATATCTGTGAAAAGTGCTGTTGTCTAACCAGAATGTCAGCAGTAAGACGCAGTACCTTACAATGAGCAGCTTCTTGCATTCCAGTGATTTGTGTCCTTCACACCGGGGTATTTTGATATTGGCTTTCCAATATCTGATGTCTAGTGTTCCAGTGTCTAAAGGTGCCATGAATCCATAATGTTAACAAAGCTGATTTCGGAAATGTCCTGTGAAAGTAAAGCTGTCAGTACATGCATACTTCAGTTTGTTTTCAAATACATGTGTATCATTGAGCTGTTCCATATTTAACAAGCAAAACTAATTGAATCTTGCATGATCTTAGTGTGCATGTATTATTTATTTTACAGGTAAGGTTTTACAGTATTATTTAAATGTTACGTTTTGATGTAAAGTGTTTTTACTCTTTATTTTTTCTTTCCGTCTATCTCTGATGGTGAAGGATACTCAGAAATCCTTTTTGAAACCTCCCCAGTCATGCACACTGTCCGTCCAACATTCTATAAGGGTATTGTCTTCCTTTTTTATCATTATCAATGCAACAGCGACAAAATCCTATAAAGGCTTGCAGTTGGGGCATTCGCAGTCCATTCAATGCCACGTGCCATAAAGGGAGAAGTGTACCACCTTCATACCTCCCTTCTGTCCTACCATTTCCCATTACCCTGACACTTTACAGCTGTCTGCATTTTACTTCCAGATGAATACAAATAATGTTTTGCAGAATTTTGGCAGTTTTTGAAGTATTTAAGCAGGTATTTTTTAAGTATTTGGCAATTTTTGTGATACAAGGTGTGCTCAGTAGAGTACATAGATTTTACTTTATAATTTCATAGTGTAGTAATTGCCTGGGATTCAATTACAAAATACACTACTGCAGTCACTAATTTCCAGTAATGGAAACAATGACAAACGTATGCTTTATGTAGTTTAAAGTAACATAGCAACTTCTTTGAATATTTTTTTAAATGTATGAAGTCACAATTGCATATTCTTTGTTTTTCTATTGTGTATTCAGTTCAACCACTTTATCCAAGGATCAGAAATGTTACAACAGCTGCTGCTGAGACCTATGCCAATATCAGTTGGGAGTATGAGGGACCAGATCATGCGAACTTTTATGTTGAATATGGTGTAGCAGGCAGTAAGAAGTCGTTCCATTAACTTTACTGAAGTGTTCAGATGTATTTTTGAAGATCTTTATAGTATATGTGGTCTTAAATTGACCCAGTGTTAATGATAGCTCTTAAATGTCTAGAAAAATTATTTTTAAAATTTGATCGAGAAGATCAAATAATTTTCATTTTAATAAACATCAATGTGTAGCAGGTGTTTGATGCTTAGATAGAATATGAACCTTTGTTCCTTTGTATTATTTTATAAATTCATTGGAATGTGAACTTCTAAAAATGTAGTTTGCATTAGGTTGTTTATCATGCAGTGATTACATGAGTAAATGTATTACATTACAGGTACAGTAGTACCTGCATTAAAATAGGACATAACAGTTTTCCTAAATTATGCACAATTCAGGAAAAAAAAAAGAATTAAATAAGATATTCTTTGTTAAATTAGAACTTAAAAGAAGATATCAACCAACTTATGTACTTTTTTTGGCATAAAACCAAGTTTATATCTTTGATAATAACAGTAGTAATTAAAACACAATTATCTAATAAAAGCAAGATACTTCTTTTCTAATACCCCTTCTTTCTGAAGTTATCAGTAAAGGTGAATAATCTGAAAACTGGGATATAAATGCATTTTTCTGGATATCAGTCAGAGAAATAGATGAGACTGTACTAGAAAGAAGATATGAGAGAAACAGATTCAGATTTTGAAATAGAATTTCTTGACCAAAGTAAATATTGACTGAAATTGCAAAAGTGTTATTTAATTAGAGATTAAAATCTATTTTAATGTATTTTATAATTACAAGTTCAATAAAGATTTAAAAATAAACTAAGTTAGTATTTCTCTAGTACAATGGAACAAATGTTTAAAATAGTTTCGTAATTACTGTACAATGTCTTCTTCAATATATTGCATGCAATCTATTAGTCATAATTTTATATAATTTTATTATTTTTTGAGAGAACAGTTATTTTTCTCAGACGATCCATAGTTTAGTTAAGTAACTGTCAATAGTATTCTGTCTAGAAACTTTCAGTAATACAGAGAAAATTAAAATTCCAATATGTTGTTTTCCTAAAATTTTTGTAGGCAAAGAAGATTGGAAAAAGGAAATTGTAAATGGTTCTCGAAGCTTCTTTGTCTTAAAGGGTTTAACACCAGGAACAGCATATAAAGTCCGGGTTGGTGCTGAGGGCCTGTCTGGTTTTAGGAGTTCAGAGGATGTGTTTGAGACAGGTCCAGGTGAGGCACACCGTACCAATTCTGTATCATAGTCAGAATCGTGATAGACCAGGTGTTGAAATGCTGAACTGCTTCTAGCTAAGAGATGTTGTAGATGGCATCTTTGCATGTTCCTTTCATAGAGCAATGTTAAGTTATTTTATAAACTCCTAAATAATACCAGGTTATAAATGTGTCCATCCTTTCAATTCACTCTGCTTGACTGATGTTTATACTTAGGGGCAAGATATGCACTGCTCACAGTCCATCTGTGTGCTGTGCATTGGAGATGACCTATTTTTTATATTTCTAATTAATATAATTAGATGGCTGTATTTAAGTAATGTCTCGTTTAATAGAGCTAAAATATTTGCATAATCAGTGCAGATTCATTTTGATGTCTCATGATCTATTTATACCAGTGTTAAGACATTCCTACTTGTAAGTGTTTCTTTTCCTGCCATATACTGGTTTTATATAGAATTTGATGCCACATCTATGTCCTAGGAATCAGTAAGTCTGTTCAAGTTCCTTATGTACATATTGCCGTCCTATTTCTTCATAAGCAAATAAACAACGGTTGTCCATTTCACTCAGAGAAAGGGCTTTATTGGAAGTTTTTTGATGCTATGCTAAATACATTGTTGCCATCACAACATGTTCTTGGTTCAACTGTTACTATTATTTGTGTCTTTGCTAGCCACTTCTGCTCATTCCAGGCATTTAGGTCTCTGCATAGTTATATAGCAGTAGTCTCACCAACTCCAGAATGTTATAACAAAGTAATTTAAATATGAAAATATGCTTGAACATTATGTAATTATTATCAGGCAACAAAATAGGTAATGGATATGCCAGTTTGAAAGTGAGCACTTTCTAAAATAATTTTGTTGGTTTGTTTTGTTCCATTTCTGTTCACAGTTTATCGTGTTGCAGAAAAGCTTTGAAAACATGGTGCTGAATAACAGTGCCAAGCAAATATGTACAAGCTGAAAGCAAAGCCAGGAACAGCTAGCGGTACAAAAGCATATCTGTAAAATTTTATGCAAATACACATCCAAAGCCTAAAGCAGCAGTAAACAAGGATCAAGACTATAATATAATCCAAAACAAGCTGAATGGAAACCTTCCCAAAAGGATCTTTCTGCATAAAAAATACTGAGCCAATAGACAAGGAATCCTGTACTTACCTAGTCATGTTGACTCAGGCCCTTGAATAGTTAAGGAAAAAGTGAATTTAAACACACTCTCTTCTGCTTCTTGATAATGGAAAGTTTCAATGTCCAGCATGAAATTATATACATAATCTATGTCTTACAGAAAAATTTTGTGTCACAGTCTTCAGCCTAAATCAAAGCTTTTAAACACTGCAAAAATGGAGTGGACAAAGAGGAAAGTACTGGAATACGGAATATGTTCTTAATAGAAATGAAACTGCAACGTTTCAAATGTGAGGCTTTTGCCACATTTTTTTCTTTGACAAGCATTCCTACAGAGCATTTTCCCAGTGTGCAGATTTATCTTTTTGGGCATTCCCAGTCCAGAGTACTATATTGACTCCTGCATTAGTGGTTCAACAGTCAAAGTTTTTCTGCCTGAAGCAGATAATTTGCTTAGCGTAAGCAGGAAATGTACCATTTTAAAAGTTGCAGAGAGATCTAGAAACCCTTTCCTACTGGATATGCAATAAGTTAATACAGAAATCTGCATAAATAAGTTTTCATCTTTACTCTTTCCCATCTATCTTGCATATTTTTATGCAAGTTGTTTTGCTTGATGCTATTTCTTACTGCATTTGAATGTGAATTGTGCTTTTGCATTTTTGTTGCAGTATGTATTGTACAACCTTTAATGCCTTATTATGAAAGCGTATGTGCAAAACCCAAAATAATTTTAACACTAATGTGATAACAAAGTTTTATCTTATTTTGATTTATAGTTCAGAGGAAGATAGCATTTGTGATTTTGTTTTTTAAAATTGCCACATATATTTTATATATATTTATATGTGGTATATAAAGTATAAATATACATGTATGTAAGGGATATATTTATATAACCTGTAGAGATTTTCATGCAAAAATAGTTTAAAGTATTGTGCATTTAAAAAATGAGTTTCTAAAATATCAGAAAATATATTCTTAAACAAGGGCTGAGAAGCCTCCTGATCATATCTCCACAATTGGTCTTCTGTATGGAATGGATAGGAGATACTATATCCAGACATCAGAAATACTTTGAGTTTTCGTAGAGTCCTTGGAAAACCCTTAGGAATGTGGGCCCATTGAAAGCTGCTTTTCCAAACTAGCTGTCTCAGCCTCTCTCTTAACTAGGAAATAACACTGAGACATGGGCTTGAACTCTGTCTATTGGGCAACTCTTCGTAGAGTTTCATACTCGGGGTTTAGGACTGGAAAGTGAAGAATGAGCACAGCAGGTTTGAATGGATGTCCATCTTCCTCCACTTCATATGTTCTTCTCTCTGTAGCATCCCAAACACCTCTCACCCTTCTCACTTCCTCCAGACAGCAAATCCTAAGTCCAGTTGCCTGCGGCATGTCTCTGAACAGCAGAGTAGAAAATAAACTTCACCAAAAAAATCCTCCTACAGTATTTGAGACCAGTAGGAGAGATCCAACCCCAAGACCACACAGATATTGTTAGTAACTATAGTGTTTCCTGTGCAGTTTCCTTATCATTTACATTATCTTCCATCTAGACTCAGCATTTGGAGAGAAACAGTGCCAAGGAAAGGTTTCCCAATTGCATCATGTTGAGCCCTCACTAAGTCTAAATCATGGCAATCACGATAAATTGTAGGAAGAGTAGGATGAGTTTTGAGGAAAGGCAGAAAACATGATGTTTAATAAGGTTTTAAAGGATGCTTCATTTTTAATTTTTATTTGAAATTGAATGTTATGGCCTTGAATGACCCATCTGTTTCCCCATTTCACACTGATGGAAATGCCTTAGCTAATGAGTATTGGCTTTTTATTCATTTTGAGAATGCAATTGACATGTTTATGTGAATTATAATTTGCTATTTCATTTCAGTAGTTTAATTCATGTAAAATGGCTCAGAATAGTTTTGAGGTTTGTGGAAAGCAATGTAGTGTGTGTGTGCAGATTTCACAAAGTAGTTGCTAAGCTTAAATGTTGGCAGAATTCTTATATACTCAAAAGTAAGTTCTTTGTACTTGGAAACATTTTGAGTAATAAAAATACAAAATATTCACTGTCTTTCTTAATACTATTTTTTTTTCACAGTGAATGCTATTCCCTAATGAACATTGTATACTGGCTTTTATTTATCTGAATTAGCATAGCATTTAAATGCAGCAAAACATCTTAATTTTTCTTCTTTTATCCTCTAGCAATGGCGAGCCGGCAGGTAGACATCGCTACTCAAGGATGGTTCATTGGTCTTATGTGTGCTGTTGCTCTTCTGATCTTGATTTTACTGATTGTTTGCTTCATAAGGAGGAATAAGGGTGGCAAATATCCAGGTATGCTATTTAACAGTGACAGTAAAATTCATCTGTTGGTAACCCATTTAGACAGATTTCAGGTTTACTGAAAAATTACGTTTGCTGCGGGGTTACATTTACATTGTGTATATGGCAAATCAGTCATCATGTGGTGGGCTTGGCAGGAGCAATCTGCATAATGACAGAAAACCTCAATCTGTTTAAGCATAAGAGAAGTACCTCCTTCATTCCTGGAGAGTCGTATTACTGTATGACCTCTCTAGAGAGGTTTGAAATACCACCACTCCTGCATATTCCACTTTCAGAAGTACAGTGCAGATGGGTTCAATCCACTAAAATGAGCTGAGCTGCAATTTATTTATTTGGTCAGAAAGTGTGGAAACATACACCTGATCACAGCCACTGCATTACTTTAAAGTATGGGGAATGTATTTCATAGGACAAATCTCTTCATACGTTATTTTGTCTCAAATACAAAATAGCTTCAGTTCCTTCCCAGAATCCGTATTGTCTTCAGCCTCTGCATTTCTGCAGCTAAGTCTTAAGTTACCATCCTTCAGTAGGGCTGTTTTTTATTCTGTAATTTTTTTCTTTATAAGAAAGGGAGGGGTTTTTTTTAGTATTAGGTCTATGAATGGCCAAGTATATTTTATAATGTTTAATTAAAAATTGGAAGTATATAATGTATGTCTCCTATCAAAACTCTCATTCCTCCTGGTGTACATATTATAGAAGCCGTATATGTGTATGTATGTATTTGTACATATATGTATCATACATATCTTTCTCCAGTCTGACATTTCTGTTTATATAGTAGGTCCATAGACTAAAGCTCTCTTGAAAAGGATAGTGGGAACCAGTTTGCATAGTGTTATCAGAGAGGATCTCAGAGCAGCTGTTGAGGGATGAGTGTCTATGAACGAACTTCAGGTGAGCATCTAGGGACAAAGTTAAACGCAGAAGATTTATTCGAGAAGGAAAAAGAGTTTTGCTCAAGGAGATTTTAACTGCTGGGAAAACTAGGCCTGGGAAGAACCCAGTGTGGGGAAAAAACTCCTTCCCATGAAACTCTTTCCCTATTTTTCTGACTGTCTGTTTTGAGAAGTTAACTCTCTGGTTGCAAGAAGAGGCAAAAGTTCTCACAGACATGCTTGAAGCCCCTGCTGGGAGAGAGGGAGATCATAAAGCACAAGGGGGAACACAGCCTTGAAGTTACGAGCATGCAAAAGCTGTTTATATAAAAGCACTGGAATGGATTTTCTGGGCTGCTCTTTTGCCCATTGCTTGATTTAGCAGTGTATTTAGGATTTACACCTTCGAAATAAACTTTTCCTTAATACCCTAGCTGTGATTTGGTCATCTGGGTTTACCTGTGTTTGTATTAATTCTTAAAGCATCAAATGAGAATTTGATTTTTCATTTTCCTCTCCTAGCTCCAGTACAAAGTACAGTTGCTAAGTTTCATGTAAAATCTTGGCTTCCTGAAAAAATTCTGTTCTGTATTACAGACTCCAAAGGTTTGGAAATTATATAAATATTCAGACTCTAGAATGCTTATCTGTCGTCACCTCAAACTTCTTGAAGCTGATACTTTTAATTTGGGCATGAAAAAGCAGGATGAACTTACAAAAGTACAAAAAAAAAAAATCCGTGCTTTGTTTTAATTTCTCCTGCTTGTTTTGACCAGTGCACTTCTGAAAACCAGTGTCAGTGAACACTAAGAACTTTTCCTCTTCATAGGGGAATCTTTTATACTGAACATAGCATAGCAGATTATTTTTATAAGAAAATCACCTCATTAAATAGAAGAATCCTACTCTGCCCAATCTAACTGTTAAATTGTTTTATATAGAGAGAAAAGATTTGTAGTAACAGCAAGAATTAAGCAAGAGAAGCTTCTGTTCCAACTGCCTATGCCCATGAAGAAAAGACAGATTATTAAGGAACAGTGTTATGTAAAGTTATATGACAGGTTGAAGACATCATCTTAGGTTTTTTTATTTATATTTGGATTATTTAAAAAGAAAATGAGATTATTGAGGATATAGGAAAAGTGACTCTCAGTGGAGAGAACTGAGAAAAGAAAATGAAAATTCAAAGATTGAAACAAGGGAAGTAATGGAACTAAAAAGAGTAGGGAGGACTCGGAATGAGCTACCATCAAGAATAGGGCAAAACAGAGTTTTTGAGTAAAAATGTAGAAGGCAGTTGGATGCTAAGGCTGGTATTACTTTGTGGATCCCTGATATGCCATTCTTTTCTCAGCTTCTGCAGAATTATTAGCTGTAAGGTATTAATTTTTTAATGTGCAGCTACATATGCGTATACACACACACATATAAAGGTAGACCTTGGATGTTTATAAGATTTCCAGATTCAGTAGGTACTGGTGTTTACAGCAGTGACGTTATAGCTAATTTTATTTCTTGTCTCATTGCAAATGTACTGTAGTCACAGGTAGTGACAAATGGGAAGCACAGAGTTATGAAAATCTATGAAAATCAAAGTTATGAACTCTTTTTCATCATAATTTTAGCATGTCATCTTGATATTTCGTATGGTTTGTAGAAAGCAATCAATTACTTCAGTATGAAATTACAGCAGCCAGATACATCCCCAGGTGTTATGCCTCATTGCAATTATATACTTAGTAAATACTATCAGGAGTGATTCATATCCTCTTAACAGCATATAAATTAATGATGTAAAAATTAAGTGTGGAAATTACCAGATTAAAAGATAATATATTGTATATTGGATTATATAACTGTATCTGCTAAACAAGGGAAAGATTTGAGTAGTTGCCAGAGAAACAGAAATGAAAAGGCAAAGGGAAGAACCATAAAGATAATGCTTCAAGTCAGTATATTATTTTACTCCATGAACAGTCATTATTTAGATGAATATGTGACATCTGTAAACATCTGACCCCTCAGGTGCTAGCAGGTTTCTGTGTCAAAGTTTCTGTGCTACATGTATTTTTGTACAGGGACAAGTTATATACCTAGATTTATTCTCACCAGGGAACAATGATTAAACATAAACCAAGGATTTGCAAGAGATACAATAGTGTTAAATTTAGGTTCCAGTGTGGGTGATTTTGCTTTGCTTTTGATGGTGTTATAGAACAGAAGAAATTAACAGACCATACCTGTTTTTGCCAATATTAATAACTCTCAAAATACTGTTTAAAATTCCCTGGAGTCTTATTGTGTGAAATGAAAGTAGAAAATGTACAAACTGACAGTGAACCCAAGTGAATCTGATTCAATTTTATCAATCAGTATGAGATGAATATCAAGAGGAAACACACATCATGGTTAAATAAAACTAAGTTATTCAGATATCAGTAAACAATAGCTCTAATAATAATATAAGTAAATAAATTATTATAGTAGGATTTTTAACAAAACTTTAGTTCTAGAAATGAAAGGAAGAAAATGTTCTACTAATGCAAAATGACACACAGTATTTTATACTTGAATGAAAATAAAATTGTATAACTAATTAACAGATCTTTTTCTTCAAGAGAAAAAATGTAACACCCTAAGGTCCTATTTAAAAAAATTATTCAAACCACATTCCTGTCAAATGTGATCAGTTTGAGAAATTAAGGACTTAGGCTTTTTCATCTTGCAGTTCCATGATAAATATTACCATTTCAAATATTTTAGTGAAGGAAAAGGAGGATGCACATGCTGATCCAGAAATACAACCTATGAAAGAAGATGATGGAACATTTGGTGAATACAGGTGAGCAACTGATGTGATTTGTCGTGTTCACTGTTATGTCACATATGTCCTGTATATAGTATCACACTTATTAATTCAAAACTAACTTTTCTGTGTCAAAGATTCTGTATCCAGTTTTATATAGAGCTATAGATAGCATATCAACCACAGAATTAGAAAAAAATTATCCAGGCTTAGTATAAGCCATCTGCTAGTACAGGGTGAAATCCAGTTACAAACACAGTTGTCTTAAAGTGTGGAATCTTTATTTACAAAGCCAGCTTTCAGATAGTTCAAATAGATACAGTGTCCTTTCTGTTAGGGCACATTTAGCATTATGGTTTTTTGAAAATAAATTTCCAGTTGAAGCCTGGTAAAGACAATCTGCTGTTAAGTTGACTTGAAAACAAACGCATTTAAAATGGATGCCAGTACTAACATCTAATCCAATAACAATAAAGTGATGTTATACACAGAGGTGAAGGCATGTCGTACAAGAAAAAACAAATCTCCCTTTCAGTTTTTCACTACAAGATACATAGCAAGCAGCTTCAAAGCATGCAACACAGCTCGTATTCCTGATTCTCTTCCTTTATTGTAAATGCAATCTGGCCAAATCTCCTGGCATCACCAAAAGCATGCCTTGGCAAATCTGTTCATGTAACGATTATGAGTATAGCTTATTTAATAAGCAACATTTTATTTGTTGTTTTTTTATTAGTGCAGAAAATAATGTTATTATTTTCTAAATAGGTCAATATCATTATCTTCTACATGGGTGATATAATAGATTTTGTAGTGCATTTCTGTGTCATAAGCATTATAGAAGCCCTTTATAAGATTTGACATTTACAAGTGTACATTGAAAAAAAAAAAGGGTTTTTTTCAAGAAGGATCTATACTGTTGCCATAGCTTCTTCATAGAAGGGAAATGTACATCTTGATCTAACGGGAATAGATGTACAGTTCTGAATGCCAAAGAGCAGTTTCTGTTTATTTTCCCTTGACTGAAAAAATACAATACTCTGTTCTTACATTAATGAGTTCAGAATAGTGTTTTATTACAGTACATTGGTACATAAGAATTAATTAAATTCAACTGATAAAAAGAGAAGTGTGAAGCAATGTTTGGAAGCAGAGGTAAATAAGTACTGTCTAAGTTTTCCTGGGCATTCCAGTTTTCATTCTCCTTTATTGCTCCACTGGTTTTTGATACTTGGAACTTCTAGCAGCAGAAATTGACCTTTGTACAGAATTGTACAAATTATATGACCTCAATACATCTTTTCTCAGGCCTGGAATAAGTATGGAAGTCTTTGTGGGACCTGTAGCAAGATTTGAATTTATGCCTCCATATTTGAGTGGCTTGAGTTAATCTATAGAATCATCTAGAGCTTTATAAATTATTTTATAATGCATTTATCCACCTCATGTCTGGTGAATATGGGTAGTTGCATGCCAAGCTTTCAGACTTGTTAACATAAAAGAGCTCGTCCTATGTACCATGCTAAAACTCCTTCTAAAATGTATTCATGTGTAATTAGTCTATATTGGGCTTTCCTCTTTTTTCCTTAGAGACAGGGCAGCGGCAGCAACCAGTCAGATTATAGAAGATATCTTGCCACCCTCTCTGCAGCCCAGCATCACTGCAGTCACTCAGTTCCCAATTTGTCTGCCTCATATGATGCAGTGCTTCTTTAAGGACAAAGGATATAGGGTTTCCCTTGAAAAAAAATGTAGTTTTTGAAAGATCTAGGAATTCGAGTATTTTGAACTTTTTTCATCACTTCAGGTCCATGTCTGCTTGGACAGGAAAGAAACTGGACAAGGAAAAGAAAAGAAAAGGTAGCTGTACCAATTCTCCTGAAGCAGACCCTGTCTGTACCAAAGCAAAGTCTGTGAGATCTGACAGATCCAACTTCTTCAGAAGGTCAGGGGATCAATACTCCAACACCAGATCAGAGACCTCCTACACTAGGAGGAGGGCTAGGCAGCCTTCAGAGCTGACAAGGGTTAGTTGTATCTCTGCTTCCCTCTGCCAAGAGGAAAAGAGGTCAGACGAATGGAAGTACAGGCGTGGCTCTAGACATCATGCTTCTGAGCAAATGATAATGGGGTCGGAGAAGGGCTCAGATTCTCAGGCAGGACAGCCATCCCCTTTCCAGCAACCCCTCAACTGCAACTCAGTTGGTGGCTCACTGGCAAGGCAGCATTCTTCTCTCCAGCACTGGTGCAGCCAGACCCCAGACTGCAGCTCAGATTCAGAAGACACTGAGAGCTTCTGCCCCAAGAAGGTAAGACCTTCTACTGCTCCTCACTTCTCTGAATCTGAAAAGAATTCACTATTGAAATCTGTAATTGTGCCTGAGCTAGCTACTGTCTTAAAGGATGCTTTGACAGCAGCCAGACAAAGTATAACATCTGTGGCACAGGTTAGGTCCCATTCAGTAAAGCATCCCAGGGTACCAATTACAGAAGTTCCAGTGGCTCCTTTAGAAGCATCTGGGAGCAGTTCCCAGACTTTTGAGTCTGACCATATGGACAGCTTAAAAGATCAAACAGCTTTTGGGAAGGAGAAACCTGAGCTTGACGAGGCCTCCTTGGAGGTTGAGTCAGCCCGTGAAGATGGGGAAGTGGCATCTGAGTCCCCTACAGAAGATAAAGAAGGACCAGATCCTCTGCGTAAATTTGACATGGAGAATCAGAATTATCTGTTCAAACACATAAAGAGGGTGTTAATGCTAAAATCTTCCAAATCTGAGAGTGCTTCAGAAGAACTTCTTATCCCCTCTGAAGAAGGCAAGGTAGATAATGCACTTCCTATCCATTCAGCTGTGGAAGATCTTGTCTGCAGGATTTGGGGTAATCCTGAGGCCAAGCATGAAGCCCCAGCAGTACTACGTAAACTTTATCCTTTTCCAGGGGATAAAGCTGCTTTGTGGGGGACCTTGCCTGAGGTAGACAGAGCATTGGTTACTGGTGATTCTGTACTGTCAGTGCCTGATAATAGAGATGCGCTCCCTAAAGATCCTACTGACAAAAAGATTGAGGAAGCAATTAAAAGATCTTTCAAGCTAGTTGCAGCTCAGCTTGGAGTATCTATCTACTGCACTTATGCTTCTAAGGCTTTACTTATATGGTTGGAGGAAGAACGAACCAGATTCAAAAAGAAACGGTTCCCGTCTGCTACCATGCAGAGGAGACGCAGGCTATGTAAAATTGCAGCTAATTTTATCCATGATGCAGCTGAGGATTCTCTTAGACTCACTGTTAAAAATATGGCATGCCTCACTGTAGCCTGGAGAACTATATGGCTGCGTCCTTGGACCTCATTGCTAGATCTAAAATGTAAACTGCTGTCTTTACCATACACAGGGGGCAAGCTATTTGGTGAATCCTTAGTCCAGATCATGAAGGATTTCTCAGAACACAAATACTCCTTACATAAGATGAAAAAAAAGAGCTCTGTTGGAAGCTGCTCCTTTTCTTATCCTCACAAGTGTCTGAACTCCTTGCGTTCTCCTCCGAAGTTCAAAGGAGGGAAGGGAAAGTACAAGGTCTCACAGTCATTCCATGCCAAGTACAAAAAGACATCTCACTCTGAGAGAGACACCAGACCATCGAGAGGAACTTTCTAAGAGCATAGACTTGCTTCCTACTTTCTCAGGAACTGAGAAGAGTGAAAGATGGAAATGTTTCAATATTTCTGGACAAGTAAGCCCAGTCCTCAGAAAATTAGTTGTTTCAAAATAAAATTAAAACTATTAAGTTGCTTAGATCTTAATGAGTAATTAATACATACTAGAGAAATGACAGCTCTTAATTTTAGGGGAGGTTTTTTCAGATTCCATGTCTAAGCTTCTCAGTGGTCTTCGGATGGCTTGGATTTGTTTGAAGTTTTGCACTCCTCAACTTCATCTAAGAGCATACCTTCCGCAGGACCAGCCAACATCAGATTTTTCTACCATATCAAACTAAATAAGGAAATAATGGTTTAGGAAATGCAGATGTTTCAAGAACCATGGAATGACTGTGTGCACTATGTTCCTGTGACTGGATTCCTTCACTTTCACATAGTAAGGGAAAACAGTGCCTCTGTAGCAAACTGCAATGAGATAGTAAATTGTGGACAGTCAATGCTTACACCAAGCAACTGCAAGAAACAGAATAAGTAAGACAGATGTATATTTATTTAAATTAAAATAAAAGATTATATAGAGGTCCTGTTCAGGTGTATACATCAGCCTAATTTCCCTCCTGGTCCCTAAATTGAGAGAAATTAAGAAGTTATAACAGCTACAGACCTATGGGTTTATAGATAGGGAGAGACTGGAAGCTTGCGTTTTTTAGTTAACTACAAAGGCAGGACAAAATTGCAGCAGTCTGCAGAATGTTCTTAGGAAGACGAAACAGGACAAGGCAACTCTAATAGTAGGATTACTAGTGTGGTAACAAAGGATGTTTGCACATTTTGTTGAATTATTTTGCCTCTTTTCTAAAACATTTTGACACACACAGTATCTTTCCTAGAAATTCTTGGAAATGCTACAAGAGACTTTCTGGCAGAGAGTTTTGAGATTGCTAGATAATGTATTACTCTTCCTTCTTGTTCTGAGTTGATTAACAATGAGAATATGGTTTGTAACTACAACTATTTTTTTCTCTTGTACTTAAGTTTTAGTGCAGCTTGGGTGTGTTTCCAAAGGGACCTAGCCATGATTTGTGCCTCAGCACTGTAATTCTAAGCTTGGTCCTTTCTAGCACAAGAGATTATCTCAGTGGACTGCCTGAAAAACTTAATAGTCCAGTTGGATTTGGCACTAGTCTTACTGTGTTCTAAATTACACACATGTGCTTTCTTTGACAGTTCTTATTTTAATTATTGAGTATCTGTGTGATTGCTTTTTAAATCAGTACTTGATTTCCCTTCGTATAATTTTCTACCAAAAATAGAAAGAGTGGAAAGTTGGTTAAATTTCTCTCAAGCAGATTTTTCTTTAACATTTTCACAAGGAGCAAGTCAGGTTCTTTGACTAACAACATTTTTTTCAACACATTACCATTTAAACTAGAGCTAAACCTCCCAGTTTTTCCAGCTTCTACCAGGATTGAAGAGTGAGTATTACAGAGATGTTAAAGAAGAACTACTCAGAAGACTAATATAAGTCTTAGCTAAATAAGAAATAGTAAAATGGCTTGATATCTGGATTGATACATGTGCATAAGTGTATAGGGCAAGCATTTGTCACCTGCACAGTCCTAACAAGTTAGAAGTGTGAGCAGAAACCTGTTAAGTGTTAGGGCAGAGATTGCCCTGGAGTGTGCAGGGAAGCCCTAGTGAAAGGTTCTTCTGTGGCTTTACATGACTGCTTATACTGCAACATTTCTCGGCTATTGACCTGAGGGCACAGAAAAAGGAATTTACTGCCAACAGTTTTCATCTGCATCCTCTTTCTGTGTCCCATAGCTCAGGATGTTTTATCCATTTTGTTTGGTTTATGTTGCCTTTGATATGACAGTTATGTTATAAGGAAAAGCAGTATATTGCTAACTGTATATTGAGTCTTTTTGCATGTCCATGAATGTGGCAAAGTTTAGTGGGAACTAGTTGCCTGCTGGACTGCAGAGGCATCGTAAAACTGTCTTCCCCATTCTGACTGGTTGCTGCATGCACCCATATCTAAGGAAGAAAAATTGAAAAGTTGAAAGAAGAAAGGAGATTTCAAGGTACATATTTCTCTCAATAACTGATGAGCTTGTGAAATGGAAGTACTTTTTAAAACAAATAAATTTGCACTTTGCACTTACATTGTTACCTTTGTACTTCTTATCTCTCTTAACAATTAGCTGCAAGTTTGATATTGTTCATTACACTAAAAAGAAAAAGAAACATGTATTCATATATTAGCAATGATTCATGAATAATATTTAAGTCATGCTTTTAGAGTATGCTTTAATATTAAATACTGTTCTTACTAAAAGGGCAAGAAGTGTATGTGGTACATGTCAGTACTTATCAAAATGATTGGTACATGAGTCTTCACTGAGAAACTTTCATCCTTAAAAAGCTACTAGTATGGAATTTGTTTATACAACAAAAAGTAGTAAAAGTATCACTACACTTAACTTCCATGACTGCCTGATCTAAATATGGAATTCATACCCATTCTCACATCTTGTTCGTTTGGTTCCCTTCCAGTCTTGTTTTCTCACTACTAATTGTATGCATTGCATACGTGACACTTTTCAAAAACTTCTTCAGTTTCTCACTGTAATTTTAGTCAACCCAATTTGCACTTTATTTTTTATATCACAATATTACATTAGGTAAGTATAAAAATCAGCAAGAAAAACTACAAACAGAAACTAAAAGAAATTATTTTTTATCCTGATTGCATTTTGGAATAGTTTTATGAACAACTGTAAGCAAGATTGGCAAATCTTGAAGGTACCATATCAAAATGTATTGCTCTAACATGTTTTTGCAATATAATGTTATATATTCTACAGCCTAAAGTGTTCTATAGCTGTGTGGGCACCCATATTCGTAATGCAATTCAGCAGCTTTTGCAGTTTGTTTCTTGGCAGCAAACAGGTAATACATTCATTTCCCCAGAACACCAGAGTGCCTTCTCTGTTTTGCACCCCCAGGGTAACAAAAGTACTGTCCAAAACATTGATGTCTTCACTTTTTTCTCCCTCTCCTGTTTGTTAGGATTTTTTCCTCTTTCTTCCTCAATTTCTTTTTTTTCCACCCAAAACATTGTATTCATCTAATACAGGAGTCATAATCCAGTTTGATAAAGAATAAATGGTACCATGGCATATGTTTCCTTTTCCTGAACACGGAGCGGAAAGCACCCTGGGTAATTCCACTTGGTTTTTTGCCAGAGTCTTGGCAAAACCTCTCTCTGGACTTGTGTAGTGCAAGAAGGGAAAGGAATCCCCAGGTTCACATTTGATTTTTGCATCTGCTGTGACTGTGCTCTCTGAGCAGTGCCCACCTCTGTGCAGATACACTCCTGGGTAAATCTGCAGGTTTGTTTGTTTTTAATTATAGAGACAGTAGATTCCACATCCTTATTAAAATATAGAAAAATCACAGACACAATGCAAACAACTGTGTATTTCTTTATTATATGCCTTATTATTTAACTTTGTTTGCAAAAATATAAACAAGAAAACCATAAGAGCAACACAAAGCAGAAGTTCCCATACTCAAATTTATCTAAATTATAAAGGAAAATCAAGCTTTTTATTGGATTAAACACAAAAATGTGGGTACTTTTAATACAGTGTATATAACAATGGTGTATTATTTATTTAATGTCTATTTCAGCCTAGTGAATTACACTGGCTGGGGTCACATTGGATAGGGTCATACTTTAGAATATTTGTACAGAAATTCATAATGAAGTGGAATATGGTACAAATGCAGTTTTAATTTATTTTCATTCCTGTGTATTATGATGTAATAATTATGAAGTTCTTGACCTAAAATTAGACAACAAATCATACATCAATGTCTTTTCTTTAATAGTCTTACCCAGAAAGCAGATTTGCTTTGAGAGGAGGACTGGTTACTATTTCAAAGTGAGGGTCTGGTCTTCATTTGACTTGTATAGCCTGTTTTAATAACTCCTAATACCCTCTGATGAGGGCAATGGGGAAACAATTTTTTGTATGAGTATTAAATATTCAACTCCATTTTCAGCCTTTTAAATATAGCGTCCGTCCTAAATGAACTCTCTTCAGTAATGTCTCTGTAATCTGTGTTTACAGTGTTATAAACATTTTCACTTTGCTGCTGGATTCTTGATATTTTGGAGTACAGTTGTTTAGATGTTGCTGGCCTGTATGTTTGCAGCACCAGCGAGCACAGAAGATCAATCACACAATATTTTTCCTTGTAGCTTGTACACACCAGTAACTAAAAAGTCAAGCCTGATACTGTCAAGTTCAGACATCTTGCCTTTGTGTGTGCTTTGAGCATGAAGGTTTCATTACATGTATATAAAAGAGATATTTCTACCACTTCTTTTCTGATGTATACACAGAATGATAAAATCTCTGGTATGCTTTTTCTGTAAGTATATACATATTAGAGACATCCTTCTTTTAGAATGTGATCTTCCAAAGCCAAAAAAAGGTGATGAGATAAGGAGAAGCAGCTTGATGGAAAATAGGTGTAATGGTTTCCTAACAATAGTTTCTCAACAAGGCTTTTGTTAGGCAACAATATGATCTGTGTGACCTTGTACATGCTATGTAATATATATATTACATCCATATAAATGTATATGGTTTCTGCAGATGTATATATATGTGTGTGTATATATATATATGGTTTCTCTGGGTGTTCAAAGATATTAATTAGGAAAAAAAGAAAATGGCTTATTTGAAGAACTAAGGTATTGATTTTTAGGAATTAGAGGGTTAAAAGAATTTGTTGAGTATATATGCATCTAATATTCTGGAAATTGTAAAATTTAATTTCATTTCTTTGATATTTTATACATTTTTCTTTATATTTCCAGAAGTTCTGAGTCTAAATAAAAACCCCAAACGACTTACTTTTTTTTTGTACACTATATGCAAATAAAGTCACATATTCTGTTTAAGACAAGGTAAATAATGGCACCCAGAAGTGCGACTGGCAGTAGTGGTTTTTAATTCAAAATGCTTTGGAGCTGCTGCTGAAATCTTCATCTTGAAACTGAAGTGCAATGTAGAGGATTCTGAAAACAGCCCAACTACATCTATTTCATGAAATACAAACCTACCACAGCTGGAAATTTATTTGAGGATGCTGATGGTGCTGCAGCTTTTCCATTGACAAGGAAAGACCACGTTACTTTGCTACAGAAATCTCTTCTCCCTACCTTTCTTTCCTTTTTCTGTTGTCCTCCAAATCACTGTCAGAATGTTATCAGTTATGGAGTAGGGTAGAGAGGTAGATCTGATAAGAACTGAAAAAGAATAAGCATGCGCTAAACTCCTCAATTCTAGCTACTGTAAGCTAAATTGTTGCTTTACCTGTAATACAGTAAATATTTTAACAATTTTAAGAGCAACTTACTATTGATAAAATACTGATCACTATCAGGATATGGACTTTGCTTTTCTTCTTAGGCTATTTTCATTTGTTTCTTCTGCACCCTTTTAATGGAATATGTAGGTCTCTTGAAAGGTAAGGTTGAAAGTTGCAAGTCTGGCCTGCATTATGTAACAAATTATTTCAAAATGCAGCACTTTTATTTTCTTTATACTAGTAAAGAAAATCAGTATACTTCATTTAACCAAATTCATTCTCCATTGATGTTCAAGGAGTCAAAGAAATTAAGAAGTTTAACAGACTAACTTCATGGCATATCATAAGCTTGCTACTTTGGAGAACAAACAAATTATTTTTTTTATAACTTTACAACCCACTTTTTAATGCTTGCAGTTCCATCTAAGTGGCTTCCAAGCCAAGGATCCAGGTCTTGTAATTGAAAAGTGATGCACGATGGGGAGACAAAAAAACCCCAACAACACAACCCCACCCTCCCTCCACTGAAGACATTCTCTGTTTAAACCATTCCTACGCCATGTTTTCATGTGAACTGCATCATATTGATTTTTCTCTACAATGTGATGTAGGTTTACTAAAGGATTATTGGGCTGCACACATGCTTTTCATAAACTCAGCATGCATGGCTGATTTTGTCTTAATAAATAATACATCCGTTAATTCTGTGTTTGTTTGTTTGTGTCTCCAGTGATGCAGAGGACCATAAACCTCTAAAAAAAGGAAGCCGGACACCTTCAGACAGAACTGTGAAAAAAGAAGACAGTGATGATAGTTTAGTTGACTATGGAGAAGGTGTAAATGGTCAGTTCAATGAGGATGGCTCCTTTATTGGACAATATAGTGGGAAAAAAGAGAAAGAACCTGCAGAAGGAAATGAAAGCTCTGAGGCTCCTTCTCCTGTAAATGCCATGAATTCATTTGTGTAACCACAGAACTCGATCCCCTTGTATCTTCAGTTTGTTTAAAGCACTTGCACATCTTCCTTCTCATACTATGAACACGCAGGTAATGGAGCTCCTCACCACCAGGTGTTAATGCTATGAGAATATGCAGGTCAATACACAGCGTAATGACACGGGAAATGGTATGTTAGTATGAATCAAAATACAAAATTCAAATTTTGTTCAAAACTTGGGTATTTTTACTTTTTTTCAAAGGAACTGACACAAACAATAATATCAACTTGTAATTTTGTTTCTTGTTGAAAATACAGTATAATGCATGGGAAAAAGAAAAGCTACACAATTCACAGGTAATCTTGTCTACACTATAAAAACATGGTTTGACAATTTGTTATGCAGTCCTCTGCTGAATCCCTGGATATGAATTCCATTCCCATTGTCAGAGTGTTATAGTAGTATTTTATAGAACTTCAATGTCTTTGTGGACATTGTTGTGAAATTGGTGACTTAATGTCTAGCTATCATATGTCTTTTTGCAAGACAGTTAGGAACAGTATGTACAGTATATAATTGCTAAATGATTTAAGTATGACACTTGCATTTGCTGATGCTTAATGAGACCCTATTATCTGCTCTTTGCTCCTATTACTTTATAGCCTTTTTAATCTATCAAGTATTACAGCAGTACAGTGTTCTATTTTTACATCAAAACACGTTGAATTGATTTTAGGGCATAAAAAATACGCATTGCAATGCATTTTGGAATTTGTACAGTCACTGAAAGTAAAACTTCGAAAATGAGAGAAAATATTCCAGAAGACACAGGGCAGAGTACATTCAGTGCCTTTTTACAACATGCATTCCGTAATGCGCTGCACTACTCAATCAGTTGGTGCAGTAAACTGTGATTAGTAGACTACTGTCATTGCCAAATAAAGGAAAAATGTAAAGAAAAATAACGTGTTATGAAATTGTTGTGCTAAAAATGGCAAGTTTAAAATATTTTAAATTACACAAAGAAGAGCATGTGTTTTTTTCCCCTTTAAAATAAAATAAATGCTTTCTACACAGTTACAGCACAACGTTTTCATGGCCTTAGAATATTTACAACAAAAACAAAAACAACCAAAAAAAACACCCCAGAACACAACCAGAGTTAAATTATTTACTAACACAGCAAGGTATAAGCTCATGTAAAATAAATTGTTAAAAACCCAAGCCAGCTGACTGCACCGGCAAGAGCACATTTCCCTCTGTGTCCCAGCCTGATCAGTGTGGCAGCTTTGCAATTATCTACACCCTGAAGCAGTGTGGGGGTTACCGCTCGGAACCATGGGATTCAATCTGACAAGTGTGACTATGGTTTATTTGTAAAGGATTACCCTTATTGGTTAAAAAATTATTTTATCGCATACTATATCAATCAAGTGTTTACCTCCAAATATAAATTTTTATAACAACCTATGGTTGAAGGAATGCTCAGTTTCATTTGCCAATAAATTGGTTTTTCATAACTTGCATCAAGTTTAATTTTAAGTAAGCTTTTTATATGTAGATATTTTGTTGAATTTGTAAATACACTTAAAGCGTAGATGCTATATGCTTCTAGGTGTTACAGACAAATAAACCAAGAAAGCTTATGTTGTACTGTGTAAGAAGTACTATAGCCAATGGTGTGCATGGTATTTTAAAGCATCTACTTTTTTTTTTTTTTTTTTGCTGTGAAAACAGAATAGTGAACTGTTCTGCTCATTTACTGCAGATTCCTAATTGAACCACTCAGAGCTTTTGCCAGTGCATTACATTAGCCCATAAGACACCTCGCAGCTTTCATGTATATATTGTAGGTAAAGCACAACTGAAGTAATCCCAAATGTAAGCCAGCTGTAATAAGCTTCTTTCACACCTTTGAGTTTTCCATTTATCAGTTTTCTTAATGGGAACAGAAATATGAAATTAGTTATATGAACATTAATTACAAAGCACAAAGAGAACATTTCTTAACAGGATTTGCCAACGTTTTTGGTAAAAGAGAAATATAATTTTGCTCTTATTTAATCGTAGATGCTGAATTATCTGTGCATGTGGGGGTAAACATACAGGCTCACTTCTGTAATAGTGCAACAGATTTTGTATTAAAAATAAATGTGATTTTAAAATTTCACTCTTTGTTCTGTTTACACTAGCAGTAAAAATCACAGCGGATTTATCCTGTAGTTAAGAATTCAAAGTGGAAAAACAGCATGAAACAAGAATGGCAGAGGGTGTTCCCTTGATGTTACAGAACTTCTTTTAATGCAACCAAATTATTTACATAAAGTTGCATACCTTTATGTGGTACCATTTGAAAAAATATAAATTTGTCTGACCATTTCCTGTTGAAATTTCCTGCTATTTACATTTTACTTCCATAGATGCTTTTGTTATTTATTTAGTCATATTTCTGCAAAGAAAAAAAATTAAACAGTCATGTTCCATACCTGAAAGAGTGAATAAGAGAAAGTAAGAATGCTGATTTGAAATTAAGAGCCCTCAGATAGAATCCCAAAAAAGGATTTTGTGTCCTAAAGGAATTGTCAGACATATAAATTTCTGGGCATCTGTTTTTAAACAGTATATGAAGTGAGGAATTTTTAAATATTTTATTTTACAGTGCACAAAATCCATTGCAATGCTCTTTTCATATCTTGTTTATTCTGTGTATGAATGGAAACAGACTGGGCAGGAGGGCAGCTGTTCTGCATAGAAGACTGCAGGAGAGCCATGGATTCCAAGAGATACAGGTGCTTCAGGAGATGAATCCAAAAGTTGATGATGCTTGAAGGAGGAATCTTATCACTGAATCAGAAGCCATTCTGTCAACCCTTCTATATGTAATTGGATATTCCAGCTCCTGTCATCCGCACAGTCTCAGATCTGACACTTCTGTCTTCAGATACTGGGCTGCCTGGTTTTTTGTACAGGTATCTGTTGATTTTTCCAGCAATGCACATTGACTGGGAAATATGAAATACAGCTGTTTATGTTTCAATTAAAGAATAATTCCTGAAAAGAAGGGTCTGAGTTCCCTAGGCTTAACTGGGAAAAAAAGATTTCATATGGTAACAATTTTTGGAGACACAAGTTATTTGTGCATGTTCCCCAAAGTGTACTACTACATATAGTTCCTACATTTTCCTTTTAGTGATACACATTTGCTTTTGGTTTTATTCTCACTGAAGTGATTGTATGAATCCAGAGGGAATTAAAGAGGATACCCCAATGGTAATTTTTCTTGTAATCTATTCTTGCATTGTTCCTAGGAAAATACAATTTCCTCATGTAGCAGAGGCAAGTGGCAAAATATTTGGGAACCAAATTGTCTTTGTATGTTGTCTGGCCCATTTTAAAACATAACCTATAGAAATAGGTTAGTATTATATATTATTATAAGGAAATATTGTCTACAGTATGGAAGAGTTTTCTTCTCTGAAAGGAGAGTTGGGAAGAAAAGCAGAAAGAGGATGAGATTCAAATAATTTCTGAAAAGCAATTGTCCTTTACTGTGTTTCTGTCCCACTCCCTCTCTCAGTCTTCCCCCTTCTACCTTAAGAAAGAATATTTCACAGAGTTGGCAGAAGCAGCAACTGGTTCCATGGGAAGATGGAAATAACTACTGGAATATGCTACTTGTAGGAATCTACCACCAAGTGATGCCCTTGGGCTGGAAATAAATCCAACTGGCCATCATGTTTTAGTCTCTGAAGGGATCTCTGGCTCTTTGTACACAAGAAGTGGAAACTTTAGACCAAACTGTCAAGATAAATACACATCAGCAGAACTTTGACAGACAGTATATATGATCCATTGTGACTCTAAGCAAGGAGGAAAATGGTAGTCCTTGTGATCTTATGAATTTTGGCAGCAAAAATATACACAAAGTTCCTGTGCTAACATGAAGATGAGCTGATGATAAATTCAGATCACATTTAATATCTGAAGGATGGATCCTTTATTTGGAGTTGGAGAAGTTTGCCCAACTGTGAGTGTGGCAGCACTGGCTTTGTCTCCGCAGGGGACGTATCCCTGTGGGGATCCCTTTGCATCCCTGTGGGATAAAATTGAAGCCATCTGACAAGTAATGGTTTGCATATGTTTAGGTTGGAGAGGGG